TGATCATGGAGACATGTTCGTTTTCTTTCGCGGTCAGATCTTAAAGAATTGTTGATGTAAGAAAAGTTGTGTTATATCATTATGCAGAAATTCAGAGAATTATTTCTTATTTGTATAATCTCTAGTTCCAACAATCCATAGGAACATATTGCTACACATCGATCAACAAGAGAAATCCTTCTATGCTTTCGGGGAGTTTTTTATGTCAATCATAAACCAGAATTTCACATCATTTTTCAGTAGCCTCTCAACAGCTTCATTTGCATCCTGACTTTGAATTATTATTTCGATCATCAGATGGATTCCATGAGCAGGACAGAAACCGATAATTCCTTTGTGTATCCTTTGTTCTGCCCATTTCACTGCCGGAAATGGTTTTTATGCCTGCCAAAAAGGTCAATGCACGGTGTTCATTACCCAAGAATTTGGCTTTCATGTTTCCCCAACGTGGTTACTGTATACCACATTATAATCCCAGCAGTTTGTTTTTTTTATACCAGCGATGTTCTACTTAAAACTAATCTCAATCTCATTGGAGCATATCCTCTATAGTTAATTTGCTACATCCACTTAACAAGGTGAAAAGTTAAATTTAACTAAACAAACCATTTGTTTTGTTTCAGTCTCTTGTTTAAAATGAGAATTGTGATGACAATTATTCATTTCATTGACACAATAAGAAAGTTTCATGTCACTGTGACACTTAATGAGAGAGATACTAACAACGATGTATCTTTAATCTATAGGTGTATCTCTCGATTACATGTTAGCTACAATCTCCTCAAATAGAGAACACCACTGAAATTATTTTCCACTAGCTAAACTATAAGATGTGTTGTCATGCACGAACTCAGAAGAAGTGGCTGGGGCTGATCCTTCACAGTTACAAAAAAAACCCGATTAAAACTTGAAGCACAAGAAAGTTTGATATCCATGGAAGGATGCACTCATTATTACTTGGCAATGGCACTGGTTCAGCTGGTATACGGCGGATCAAATGTCCTCATAAAGTTCTTCCTTCAGGAAGGACTCAATCCGATTGTCTTTGTGGTTTACAGGCATGTTCTTGCCATGGTTTTGCTTAGACCATTTGCTTATGTGCTTGAAAGGTAAGCATTCTTGCCATTTTTCAGACTTTCTTCTTGTACAAGAAACAGCGAAAACTAATTTGGTAGTGGATGTGCTGTGGGAAAGGGGAAACACAATCTTGTTGCTCAACACGCAGCAGAGATTGAACAAGTGACACTTGGCGATAATGAAGTGCTGGAGATTTTCATGAATGAAATTTCAGTAATCAATCCTGTCAGTAGAGAAAGGCCATGATCATGAAGACAAGTTCGTTATTTCACGGTCTGATCATAAACAACATTGATGTAAGACACAATGAGTTTTAGTTTGACGCGTCAGTCACTCAAAATCCATATGAACTTGTTGATACATATCAAGAAGAGAAATTGATCTTCTTTTCTTTCATGGTGTCATTTCACTTGATCTTCTTTTCTTTCATGGTGTCATTTCACACAAACTGAACCAATCTTTTTTGTCCTCTCCATATTGGCGAAGATTCTAACATGTGACCGGGAGAGATACCTAGCTAAATATTGAGATATACCTAATTAATATTTCTTTCATTCACATGTCACACACATGACAAAGAAATATATATCATATTGTGCCAATGAAAAAAATGGTTCAATAATTTCTTGACAAAAAAAAAAGGAATTTTGCAGGAGCATGTCACAAGTAGTTCAATTTTCTCATAAGGAGAAAGTGGTATATCTGCAATTAAGAAATATAATAACTTTTTACTTTATTTATTTATTTTATTTTGTGCATCTCTCTTTAGTTTTTGGATAGTGCTATAACATACTCAATTTTACCTCCGACACATTCTTGTTAATTTTTTGTCATTCATCTTTTTCAATTCATTCGATTTGGCGGCCACAAATTGAAAGGGGTGTGTGATAAGTAAAATGAGTGTCTAGAAAGCACTACCCCTAGTTTTTGCTTTATTTTTGTTAGGGGGAAGGAAAATCGGTGGAGATTGAACCCACACTAGAATACATAAGTATGCTTGCTTTCTGCCACTGGTTTGGGGATAGATATATAGTTGGTTCCTTCCTTGAATGATTCCAAAAGTTGATTTCATATTTCCACCATCCAAAGACGATGTCACTGTTCTTTGGTAAACTGATTGTGGATTCCACTAGCTAACGAATGAACTCAAAAGAAGTGGCTGAAGTTGCCCCACGGACATCCATAACGTAGCCCAATAGAATCCTAACCAAATTCTCCTATAATAACAAAATCCTTCTATGTTGGGGGGAGGGTGTTTTACCTTAATTTGCCCTTGTTTAATAAATTGTTTTTTTTTTAAGCTGTAAGAGGTGAGGGGTAATTTTGATATCACCAAATCTGACTTCTTCGTTTATATATAGAGATAAAGTCGAAATTTAGTTATTTGTTCAACTTTGGCTTTTTTCTCCACAGGCTGCGGTGTCCAAGGTCTACCCTGCGCCATTGTCACTAACCAGCATAATGTGCTTTTTTGCATCGCTGCAATCTTCTTTCCTCACCCTGTTTTATGTTAGAAATTCAAGCTCATGGAGACTGGAGTGAGATCTATTCAACGACAAACTGTGAAAAACAACGGGACCATATATTTGCTGTCGTGAGACATATTTTCTATGATCTTTATCATCGTACTTGTTTTATACATCTTTAAAACATAATCCTTAATGCACTTTTGTCTTCCGTTGTTGGGATAAAATATAATTGAATCTGTAAAAAGTTCGAGCCTTCATCCGACCCTTTTGCAATGGGGAGTTCTGAATACAGCATTAGTCTATTACCTGCAAGCATGGTGCATCAGTCACAAGGTACCAATTTTTCCAGCTATGTTTAGTCCACTTAGTGCCATTGTAGTGGCAGTATTTTCGGCAATTGCTTTTGCAGAGCGACTTTACTTTGGCAGGTAAACCGAAGAACACGAATACTTTCTCCCCATTCTATCTTGCTGCTTTCACATATCGCAATTCCTTCACCGGTGCTACCAGAGTAGTTCTTCCTAGAAATCTGAACTCTTTTTTTCGTACAGTTTGATTGAAGCACTTCTCATTATTGTGGGACTTTACTGTGTGCAGTGGGGAACGAGGAAAGACAGTATTGTTGCTGAACATGGAGAGCATGAAAAAGTGACGCTCGGCGATATTAAGGAGCTGGAGATTTCCATGAAAGATAATTCAGTAGTCAATCCTGTCACTAGAGAAGAAACGTTGGATCATCAACAACGGTTGGTGTAAGAAACATTGAGTTTAGTATGACGCGGAGAATCAATCACTCAAAATCCATATGAAGCAATAATATTTACCCTAATTACACAGACTCAAATAAGTAACAAATCCCTCTTATTGCATACAATAGTCAACTCACTGACACTCTCTCTCATGTTGGTGCACAAATGTCCTTGATGCCCAACTTGTCAAGTGAGTTGTAGAAGGCTTGACTCGCAACAGCCTTTTTTAGAATATCTCCACCTCCATGTGTTTAATCCTGTCATGTTGGATTGGATTATAAGAAATATTAATAGAGGCTTTATTATTACAAAACAGATCTGATGCAGGCGTTGGTAGGTACCCAAGCTCAGCAAGTAACCTCCAAAGCCATAATAACTCACATACCCCTTTCGCCATACCTTCGTAGTCCGCTTATGCGCTTGACAACGCCACTACTTTCTGTTTTTTACTCCTCCAGGTTACTAGTTTACCTCCCACAAATGGTAAAGTATCCCGAAGGAGACAACCGATCACTAAATCTCCGGCCCAATTTGCATCAATATAGCCGTTCACTTGAAGGTGTCCATTCTAAGAAAACATGATGCCTCAACTTGGTGCCGACTTCAAGTAGCGGAGAATTCGTCCAACTGCACTCATGTGTTCCTCACTCGGAGAGTGCGTAAATTGGCTGACAATACTTACTGTATAGGTAAAGTTTGTCTCATGTGTGATAGGTAGATTAAGCGTGTCCAACCAACCTTTGATAGCGATCTTTGTTGGAATTTGATCAGGATACACGGTTCTGCCAACAAATCCAAGACATTTTTTTTGAGACAAAAATATGCCTCATTTCGATTGAGCCACTTCTATACCCAAAAAATATTTTAAGTCCCCCAAGATCTTTCATTTCGAACTCGGTCGCATATTCTTTCAACCTTGAAATTTCTTCCACATCATCGCTCGTTACAATCATACCATCCACATAAATAATCAGTGCTATCAACTACCCATTCAATGTTTTATGAACAATATATAATCAGAGTTGCTTTGTTTGAACCCATATTTTCTCATGGTCGTCCGAAACCTTCCAAACCATGCCCGAGGTGATTGCTTCAACCCATACAAGGCGCCATCGAAGTTGCAACTATTCATGAATTTGATCTTCATTGCAATTTTGCAACTAACAATCTAAAAGTATTCATCAATAGAAAATGCTCAATTGCACTAGTTTTCAGAAGACCAATCCAGTTTTTTATGTAGATAATTCAACGACCATTTCGTCTCGTCACACCTTCATTTTGTTGGAATAACTTCCGAGTTCAAAATCTCACGGTGTTGTTAATCTTCTATACTTTTTCTACAAGAGCGATAATCGAGGAGGGAGATTCGAATACAAAACTCCAGGTGCAAGATACTACACTATTAGCTGCATAATTTACAAACCTCTTACACGAAGATGCAGTTACCAAATAGCCCATGAACTTGTAGTTCACTTTCAATTTGTTCATTGAACAATTTTTTTCGGAAAAATTGGGACTTGAACCATGAAAATTAGTCAATCTCCCCCCATCATATTTGATACAAAACAATGATAAAAAGGGGTTTATCAGTCGCACGATGGGACGCAATCGTTCTACTCATTGACTTCACCAACAGGTTGTGTAATCCATTCTACAATCCTTGAGATTGATGGTAACACAAATATTGAATTCAGTCATGCTAGAATTAAAACAACACCGCCATCAACATTATTTCAATGATCCAATCTGTCAACCTAAATTATACAAGCAAATGTAATCACTACTTGACCAAGTCCAACGGAAAAGAGAATGAAACTGAGAGAATAGTCTTTTCAAAACGACCATAGATTAGTGAAACGCCACTGATAGCAACATGAGTAGGAAAGGGAAAAGTTGATTCATACAGCAAAAGGGAGAACTGAAATTGCGATGGAACACACTAAGCAAGGGTTCCAGGCCGAAAGTGAAGGCTTGGACAGAGTCACAAACCTATTTCTTTTGCTTCTTCCGCTTAATGGAAGGCTTCCTATGTTGCAGCCTTACTGCTGATGATTCTCTAAATTGAGTAACTTCAGCGTCTTCAGGCAGTGTGCATAATAAGAATTTTTTGGTCGAACCAACTTGGTTGGGGAACAGCTTCAGCATCTTCCTTCCCCTCATCCATTTAAGCATTATCTTCATGTGTGTTTTGCTCATCAATCCATTGACACCCAATTCCTGAATTTTGCAAATAAAACCCTTTTTCAGAAACATGAACTTATGGAATTTCAGACAATTAACTTTATATTCCACATTTTTTCTTTAATCTTGAATAAAGGGTGACCCCAAGCCAACAAGGCTTCCCATTTTGCAAGGGTCCCGGGGGGTGATCGTACGCAAGTTACCCTTGCTTTGCAAAGAGGTTGTTTCCACCACATTTTTTTATCTTGAATAAGGAAAGAAATATATGTCCTTTTCTTTTTGCTGGAGGGGTGATAACAAGAAAAGCCACTGAAAACTTGAAATGAAAGGAACGCATAAAACATATTTCCTGGTACCTCTTACAGTGTAAACCGCCTAGATATCAGTAGACCGGGTACCTCTTACATTGTAAACCGCCTCAGTTTGATAAGGAACGGTTATCAGAAAACCAAACCTAGATATGGTTGCTTTCTAATTCTATAACCAGAATAGTAGCATTCAAAACATCTTAAATGATTTATACAGACAAAATGACCAGTTATGCATCTGATTTCTCACATTATAAAAATCAGTCTAAGGCAAGAGGTAAAACAGAAAAGTTTTGTGAACTACTACAAGAACATGTATGCATAAGGACGAAATCAAAAGTCACTGCACTGTAATTCTATCATTGCTGTATCACAAATACCAAAAAGTTAAACATAAAATCTAGGAGTATGATAAATCTCAACATAGGTTTTATCATTTCTAATAGAATATCTCAAGTTTAAAAGCTTTAAGTGGTGAATTAATATTTGGTTTAGCATAATAAAAACGGGGACCCTGTGTTTTATGCTCTGAAGCTTACATCCCCTGTGGTTTCAGCAGTTCTATTTATATTCTTAAATGTTAGTATGAACATAAACCGTTCAAGTTACTTCTAAAATGGCAGCTTCACCTTACAAACTGAAAATTTTACCTGGTTTTGGTAGAAACTTCACCTTATAAAGCCCTCAATCTCCTATCCCCTTAAAACTGTTGAATAGAAATTTAAAAAGTTCATATTAGGATGAACAGATAGATAACCATCCTCCTATGCTACCGCACACAATAAGATGCATGGCAGACTTCAAACTTCAATGCCCACAACAGTCACACTAGCAAGTATAGCCAGCCAACAATACAATTAAGTAACGGAAAGTGTGACCAGTACTTTCTCATTATTGCAATTCAAGTTATCCTAATCTAACCAGTGGCAAGTAAGCCTACTCCTTGCTGTATTAACATAGCTATATGAAGCACTTGAAGCTAGATTACATGACTCCAAACACCAAATACACAAACTGAAATCCGGTTTTTTGACATACCCAATTGATAAAATGTCATCACAAAACTAGGCATAGCGATTACAATGAAAATGCCTGAATGGGAAGAGTAAATTTTTCAGCTTTATCAAATTCACATATATGAAGAAAAAAAAAAATGAAAGGGAAAAAAAAAAAGCAGCTCTTCACAGAAAGGGTGATAAACCTTAGCCTGAACCCAAGTATTGGGGATGGTGAGAGGTCCATGCTGTTTGACGACATCGTATAGATCACGAGCGATAGAATTAGCCTCAGGGAAGCTCACTTTTGGATTGATTTTCCTCAGATTCTCCGCGCGGCTCCGGGAGAAATGCCTTACAAACGCCGCGGCGGTTGTAATAAGACCGCTTCCGGTCGAAGTAGAACCCCTTAACGCGCCGCCGGCGAACCACATCTTCCGATTCGACGAATTCACGACGCAATCGCTCCTTTTCCGTCAGTTCGTCTTCTCAGACTGGAAACTGGAATTAGAACAGGGGTTTAGCGGAAGCTAAAAACCCTCTTTCATCAGGAACGGAGCACGTGAGAAACACGTGCATTTGTAGTTCGAATTTTTTATGTCGTTTAAGACTGCTGTCGTTTTTTGGGAACACTCGTTTCCCTATTTCTAGCTCATGGATTTTTTTAATACATCGATATTTTTACACTAAGAGAAAAGGAAGTTCGGTTAAGTCACATAATGGGCAGTCTAATTAGGTATCAAAGTTGTCATCCATGAGATTCGAACCTAAGACCTCTCACTTCCAAGTGAAGAGGAATATCATTAGATCGTAGTACTGAGTGACAGCTCATAGATTTAATGAAGGGAAATTTTAAAGAATAATAAAGAGACACACGAAGAAAAGGGTTATAACTTATAAGTTAGGGTACCCTATAAGTTACTAGTCTCTTTGCATGTTGTTACGTGCTTGCGAGAAACTTCTTTTAATCATAGACGTTACGTACTCCTAAAGATGTTTTGTGGTAATTGTAATAGTCTTAATATATTTTAATGTATTGTGCAAGAGAGAGACTCTGTTTTTATCATGCACATCATAAAAATTTGTCATTTTTGTGTGTTTACTTTACCAATTTATATGTTATTCATGCAATTGCCAAACAACATGGGATTTTGGATACAAGTTCCTACCTAAAATTCCCAAACGATATGTAGATGTGAATAAAAAAAAAAAAAGTAGATGAAACATTAGTAGCACAACACAAAATAATTTACAATATTCAGAACACACATAATGCGTACATGCTAAATTTTTTTTTTTTTTTTTTTAAGTGTACATATTGACATCAACACTGCCATTCCACCCAATGATTGATGCCTCCAGTTTTAATTGCTTTTTTCTTTTTTTTTAAATAGCAACGACAAAATTTCATTTTAGAAAAACAGCAAGGTTGTGAGAACATTACAACCACAAACAAAGAGATTGAAAACATCCCTCACTCAAAACAGCCTTAAGCCTCAGTTACAAAGAGGTCCGCCAGAAAATCGAGCGGCTCCTCAAACCATGACCGAGAAATCGTCTCATGCAGCGCAACCTTTGCAAGACGGTGAGCCATTTCATTAGCCTGACGACGAACATGGGCAGAAGCAGCTCCAATGATCCTTGACATGAAAGCTTTGCTAGGCCCAATGAAGGACATGTCAGTCGAATGACTCTGCAACACAGTCGTGATCTGGAGAGAGTCGCTTTCTAGAATGATGTTAGATAAGCCCATTTCAACGATCATCACCAAGCCTTCTTCGGCCGCTAAGGCCTCTACATGAGCCGGAGAGAAGACATTTTCGAACCTGGCCACACGAGTTGCCACAAAATGACTTGAAGCATCCCTTGCAACATTACCCACCCTACTCCTTCTACCGTCTGCAAACCATGAAGCATCTACGTTGACTTTTACATGACCGGCAGGTGGAGGGGTCCATGTAACAATTTGGGAAGTAGAGGTATGGAGAGCAAGCACGGAACATTGAGCATGGTGAAACTCAGCTAACTAGCCCATTGCTCGAGATGAGGTCAGCCCAGGGTCGTCCACTTGCCCGTTCCAGAGCATAGAGTTCCTAGCCCCCTAAATCGCCCACCAAATAATGAGACAAATATCAAAATCCGGTTGCTTCAGGGAGGAGCCAAGCAGCAAGGCCCAATCATCCATGGCAGTGACTCCGTGCCCTTTTGGTAGAGACCCCAAGGGGAGCCATCCAAACACAGGCAGCGAAGGGATAGTCACATATCAAGTGTAATGCAGATTCTCCCCTCGCACCGCATAGGACACAACCATCATCAACCTTTAGATGCCGCTTGATCAAATTTGCACGGGTAGGAATTATAGTCCTGCAAATCCTCCAAGCGTACACCTTGACATTTGGGGGGACACAACCTGCCCAAATGCGCTTCCAAAGAGGCCCCAAAGGGTTAGATTCCAAGGAAGACGAAGCAGTCGGGGAGTGACTAAGCACCCACTCCAACACCACATGGTATCCACTTTTAATTAAGAATTCTCTTCTTTTTTTTTATCAAAATGCCAAATCAAACAATCATTTGGTTTCCGAATACTCAGTGGGATTGAGCACACTTTGTCAGTTTCCGTATCAGAGAAAATAGAGTTAAGGAGAGGGAGGTTCCACCTCTGTGGAGAATCCATGATAAGGTCACTAACCATAAGCAAATTACATCCCACGGGTTTTGGAGAGAAAACCCGAAAGGAGGAAAGCTGGGGGATCCAACGGTCTTCCCAAATACGGATCCCTTCCCCCGACCCCACCTGCCATCTGGACCTGCAAGTCAGCATCACTCTTGGTGCACAGAAACTGTGCCAACAAAAGGAAGCCCCCACTTCCACCGTGGCATCAAGAAACATAGAGTTGGGGTAGTACTTGGCTTGCAAAAGTCAAGTGACAAGCGAGGTAGGCTCTTGTAAAATGCGCCAGCCTTTTTTAGCAAGAAGAGCCAAGTTGAAAGCATACATGTTCTAAAAACCCAACCCACCATCACACTTGGTTGAGCAGAACCGTTCCCAACTGAGCCAATGAATCTTCTGCTCATCATCCGACCCTCCCCACCAAAATCTAGCAACCATCTTGTTCAGATCATCACAGAAAAACCTAGGCAAGAGGAAGCTATTCATGACATATAGTGGGATAGCTTGGGCAACTACTTTGACAAGTAGTTCACGGCCATCAGCACTTAAAAGCTTCATCCTCCAACTTAAAAGCCCTTTCCACAGTATTTCTTTGATATAAGAAAATCATTGACCTCGATTCCTCCCAACAAGAGTGGGTATGCCAAGATACTTATCATGATGATCCACTCGGATAACCCCCAACCCCCAAGTCATCCTGTTGAGGTCTCTTGACATTCTTACTAAAGCAGACAGAAGTCTTAGCCAGGTTAATTGCTTAACCAGAGGCCTATTCGTAATCATGCAAGATAGCCCGTATGTGATTGCAATCCTCCAAAGTTGCCCGAGTAAAAATCAAGCAATCATCAGCAAATAAAAGGTGGGTGATAGGCGGAGCCCCTCTGCAAACTGTGACACCTCGTAGCCGCCCCTCACGTTCTCGCCTATCAATAAGAGCCGATAAATCTTCTGCACACAGCAGGAAGAGGAAAAGGGAAAGGGGATCTCCTTATCGGAGCCCACGGGTCGGATGAAGGTAGCCACGAGGGGAGCCGTTCACTATAACAGAGTAGGTGACTGAGATAACGAAAGTCATGATGAGATCAGTCCACCAAAGCGAAAAACCGAGTCTCACAAGTACACTTCAAAGATAGCTCCACTCAATCCTATCGTAGGTCTTGCTCGTGTCAAGCTTGAGCGACATGAAACCCTTCTTTCCCCTCCTCCGGCGGCTCAAGCAATTCGCCACTTCATTGGCCACAATAACATTATTAGAGATGAGAAGCCCAGGGACGAAAGCACTCTGATAGTGAGAAATAAGATTTGGCATAATGCGCTGAGTAAAAGTTAGTTAATTGACCAGTGAGAAATGTATACTAAAAGTTATTACCTATTACGAGTCACCAAGATTAGCTGGATTGAAGCAAGACCTTTTTTGTATACTAGATTTCATGTAAAACACCTTGTTCGCCAACAACAGAGCCACCTTTTCCCTAGCACATTTGTGGTTGACTTTGAGACCCCCTCGATAAAGCCACAAGTAATTGTCCATGACTAAAGACGGGATCTGGAAGGTAAATACCTATATAAAACAAAAATGTGAAAGTCATTACTTTAAGAAAAATATCACAAGCTATTATGAGGATCATGGATAGAATGAAATTCCTCGTAGCCTTTCCGAATCCAAAAGAGGTGGATAATCGTGGTTTGAAACCAATTGCTCCCATTAAAAAAAAAAAAACAAAAAAAAAAAAACACACCCACACACACACAAAAACTATTATGAGAATCACTAAAGATAAACATAATGTACTAAATAAATATTCATCGTTTTTCTTCTTTATCTTTTAACTTTATTTCATCGTGGCAAACGTAAGGGTTTTAAAATGAGGACTAGAATTTCCTCCATGTCTAATCATGTTTTATTCCTCATAAAATAAAATAAAAATGAATGCTAGCTATTTTTCTCATCTACCTCTTTCGACTAAAGAATTACCTGGTACTGGTAGTAATAGCCTAATAGGGTAGCGAGTCGCATCGTACCAATAGGAGACCCAAACACTTTTCCTACCCTCGGTAGGAGACCGTTACCTCCCGCCATAATTTGAAATGGCGTCCCACCGAGTTAACCATTCCAAAAGCAATTAGGAGAGCCGCCACGCTGAGTCCGAGCTGGACGTCACGCTCTCCCGCGCCGGTCTCTTGTCCGATCAAGAAAGTGATTTCAAATTTGAATCCAAAGCGCGTGATTGCGGACGCTCTTTGTCTATGAACATTGCAGAGAAAAAGCACTTACTTGCCATCGGACCCGTTTTGGCTCATTTTAAGGCGGCTCAGGCCTCGAGTCACTCGGGTGCGGTGGGCCTGGTGATGAAGAAGACTCAGAAACGATGCCCTGCCGAGACGGAGATGCCTTGTGTGTGTGTCATGAGTCATGACTCGCGACTGAGAGTTACAAATCGGAACTTGCGTGGGCGAGGCTAAGGCATGGTTTGGAAAATCCCAAAACGACGTCGAGCTGGCACCTTTTTCTTGTCAACTGCATCGAAAAGTGGCTACAAACCAGTACGACTTGTCGTTGTCTATTGGGCCGGTTCCCCGCCGCACCCCACACCCCCCCCCCCCACCGCGGCCCCGCGGCCATCGTTTTGATCACTTGCTTTTTGAGTAATCAGACTTTTTTTTTTTTTGTCAAACAATATATTTTGTTAGATTAGATGTTAGGTTAGCCACCGACGAATTTTGAACCCACGCCATCATGCAAGAAATCAACACCTTTCCATTACTGTAATAAAGGACCACTTGCTTGAGTAATCAGACTTATATTTACAAGTTTTGTAGGGTTTACTTGATATCAGGTTGTGTTTTTATCAATCCTTTTTTCTCTTAGTTGTAAACCACAACTCAACACACATACAACGAAAAGGAAGCGTTTAAGCGTTTACACGCATGCAAAACACAACACACGAGTAGATAGATTATTCATTTCCTCTTGGTTGCGAATTCGGTGAAAAACCAACAACGACAGTGAAAGCGCTCAAAAGAATGGAAATGCAAAACCCCAAAACACAACACACCAGTAGATAATAGTCAGAGCGCCAGAAGGGGTTCAACAGCTATATACCACATCCCAAAATTCTATACAATTCCAAATTTAAGCCGCATCCACCACAAAAAAACACAAACCAAACCTTCCTAATGAAAAACACGCAAACATTCCCCGAACCACATATTTAACACATCGGATCAAACTTCATATTCCGTCAGCAATCTTGGGCAGGAGCAGCAGCATCGGTATCCCAGTTGTCTTCTTCTCCCAACTCGTACTTACTGAAGTGCTTTACCCTGAACTTCCACTCGCCTTTCAAGGCGTCATAAGAAACAAACTCGGCTCCTTGATCCTCTGCCTTCTTCTTCAGCATCTGCTTGTATCTCTCTGTCTTCGGCCCTTCTGTGAACCGATGCCCTGTTTTTTTGTCAGTGCATGTAATGTTGAGAAGTGTAACCTCAGCAGGTTTGTTGAGGCCATGCCCGACAGGAGGTTTCTTACTGTCATCCATATAAACTATCACCTCCCGGTTGTTGAACTGCACGAGAGCCTCAAGATCAAGGCATCGCACATCTGTCTCCCCAAAGAACTTGATGCTACCATACCCAACTCGTCCAACCACAAAATCCTTGACACAACAGCAGAACCCTTGTTCTGCCCTTTCCTTAGCTGCCAATTCTTGGATTCGAGGCTCTGTATAGTAGTCAGTACGACGGAGCTTTGGCATTAGTGCCTCAATGTCAGCGCCATGCTCATATGCAATAGCAGCCTCACCGGCTCTATGCCCACTTAGTGTCATGTAAGAGTCCCCTTTCTGAACACAATGATCATCATGAACTCCATTCAGTTTCTGGTTGACTTTGGCATGATCCGCCCGCTCTTTCACATAGCCATTTTCTTCTCGAGTTTCTGAAACAACAAAAAGCAATGTCAGCCAACACCACAGATACTATTAAACCAAATACAACCACAAAAAACTAAAGGTCGGGTGTTCCAGTGAATTCCTAACAAAATACATTAACAATAAACCACAAGCTAATTAAAAACTATCTTTCTCCTCAGAACGAGCTTCTCCCGGAATTTTTCCTGAATAAACATTTTGTTCAGAAGAGTAAGCAATGTGCAAATATGCTCAGACACAATAAATTTGAAAACTAACTCAAAACTCTCCACATTAGTGCATAATAATCTAGTGTGTGGTATTGATATTACATGAACAATAGAAAAAACTCTCAATTAGGCCAGAAGGCCCAGAACCATCGACAAAAATCACTAATGGATGTAAACAAACCAAAAACTCCCTTAATAATGGCTACTAAAATCATTTCATAAACATTAAATATGCCCGAACTTTTTCTCAAGCCAACCATGAAGAGGCTGTACAAGTGAAAGGCCAAAAGGAAAGAAAATGATAATGGCACAACAGAACTTACCATTCTCATGAACCGGAGTAGAGGTATCCTTTAATGGGGATGCTTTCTCAGCACCAACCCTTTGAGGCCACTGTTCTTTTGGACGAATGACGAGTGCTCTTGGGTTTTCTCTGGGAAGGAAAAGAGCATCCGCCTTGGGCGTGCTGTCTATTTCTTCATCGTCAATAAAGAAAGGGAACTACAAAACAATAAAGGCAAATAGGTGTAAGAACAAAATTCAAATGCAGAAAACCTAATACAGATTAACTGTTTACATGAAGCATCACCCTCACCCTTGGATCGTCATTCTTAGGATTATATTTTCTCGCAGGTAACCTGACCCGCCTCTGCGACAGGTGTTGAGAGGTCAACAAATATGATACTTTAACAGGTGCAGGTTTGTCTACGACCTGACAGGGAAAAAAAAAAGTCAATGTCACATTCCATTTTCCTTCAGAGAAGGTTTAAAGAAACTGTGCAACCACATACAAGTGATTCTCGACAGAACTAACACCTTAAAGTCAAATTCAATTTCAAATTAAACAAAAATAAAACCACATAAGAAAATTATATTACAGGCATGCTCGAAATTCCATATTGAATTGATGGTGCAGTTCCACCACGACTAATTGACATTTGTGGCATTGCAGGGAGCGTTCCAAATGGATTTGTAGCAGGGACTGGTTGTACAGCTGCAGAGCTTTGCGTTGCAGGCCTATGAAAGACAGCATAGATCCATATTCTCTAGTTCAAAACTTAATTGTAAAATTCAAAATGAAAAAAATAAACAAAAGAAAACTCTAAATGCTGTAGTCCATGGACATAGAGAACGAAAAGAAAACCCCCAAGTAGCTAACAAAAGCCCCTGCATAGTAAGCCTAAATATTAGGATAAGAACAAAAGAAGGAAAAAAAAAAAAAGTATCAACCTAATTAATACTCTGAAGTTAGAATTTTCTTATCTATTAAATAAGCAATAAGATCAACAACAAAAAATACCCCTTCCACTACCAAACGAATAGAAAAGGAACCCCTTTTTAGATTTGTATCAATTGAGATATTTCAAATCAAATGAGATTTGTTTCATCCCAAAAGTTTCCGCAATTTTTTATCTGTGTAAGTGAAACCAGAAGGGTATGCAAACTAAAAATGTGTATTTAAATACCATAACAGTAAATATACCACGTAAACATGCACACAAAAGTAAAGAACTATGAGAGATACGAGTCATATGACATACAACTGTCCATAGTTATTCTGACCAAGAATTCCTGTTGAACCTCCTCCCAAGCCACTTGTGTTGCCTACAAAGCAAACACCAATTGATGAAATCAGAACCATCAACTGACAAATAAAACCTCAATGGCTATATGATTGAGAAACATAAAGATACTCAAAACATATGTTACCTGGCTGAGTTTGATTAAAACTGTTGAAGTTGAAACCACTATTCTGAGTTGGCTGAGATGAGAAAGGCATAGAAAAAGAAGTTGGCTGCACGGGAAAGAAAATAAGGAAAAAAGTTAACCAATCATCAATTAAAACCTTTTACTATTAAAAGTAAAAACAAAAAATAAAACTTACAGTTGGTTGACTAAAACCCATTTGACTGCTTGTAGCCCCAGCAGCAGAGGGGATCCCCAAACCAAAGCCAGTAGAAGGGTTACTAAATGGCTGAGCAAACGGGGTTGTATTCTGCCCAAATGGACTGGTAAAAGCACCACCTGTCTGGGCAGCCGGAGGTGTGGGATTGAATGGATTTGAATTAAATGTGGAAGTTGTTGTCGCAGCCGGAGCAGAAAATGAAAATGCAGAGCTTGACGAACTAAAGAGAGACGGAGATGAGGTTTGAGGGAAAACTGTAGAAGGTTGTGATGGTGCAAAAGGACTGGTTGAAGTAGAAATCCCAAAACTTGATGAGCTGAATGGTGTAGACGTTGTTGTGAAGCCTGTATTAGTGAAGGATGAAGTTTTTGGAGCAAACAAATTAGATGAAGTTGTGGCATTAAAAGGACTTGATGCTTGAGGAAATGTCGGTGCAGAATTCAAAGGGTTTGGCTGTGAGGTGGTAATGCCAAACCCACTCCCACCAGCAGGAGCTGGACCACCTGGAGGTCGAAAAGATAACATTTTGAACTTAGCAAATCTCATTATTGCTGACAAGCGCGGAAAAGTTCCAAGATACTGAAACGTTATAGCTAGAAACCATACCTTTATCCCCCAATTGATAATCCTCCCAGCGGAGTTCCTCATGACTTTTTTCTTTATATTGTGGCATTGCCGATATTGACTCCAATTTCCCAGCAGCACTAGTCCCAGTTCCACCATCGGGTTCAGGAGTTGCAGCATATGCAACCACTCTACTGCCTCCGCGTTGCTGGCCCCCAAAAGCTGACTGCCCAAAGGCACTAGTGTTCCCAAATGTTGTTGATTGAGCTCCTGCATCACAAATTATAAGAATATAATACAACTACAACAATACAAAACAGAATGAGGCATCTGGCTGGTCCATTTTATTTTTTCAAAATGTACCACCATTCATATGCATCTGGAATACTCACCAAATGGAGAACTCTGTGCTCCAAAAGGAGATGAAGCGGCAAATTGACTGCTACCAAATGTAGAACTTGATTGGCCAAAGGCAGGAGTTGATGGAAAGCTGAAAGATGGAGTACTGGATGAACCAAAACCAGGAGCACTTGAAGCACCAAAAGCTGGATTACTTGAAGTACCAAAGGTCGAGCTAGATGAACCAAAAGCCGGAGCGCTTGAAGCCCCAAATGCTCCCCCAGATCCAAACAAGGGAGAACTTGACACCCCAAATGCAGCTCCTGTGCTTCCAAATGTAGGACTTGTTGTGGAACCAAAGGCTGGGCTACTTGTAGCTCCAAAAGCTGGGGTGCTTGTAGCACCAAAACTTGGGGTGGTGGTAGCACCAAAAGCTGGACCATTTGTAGCACCAAAGGCTGGGGTGCTTGTAGCACCAAAGGCAGGAGTGCTTGTAGCACCAAAAGCTGGGGTGGTGGTAGCACCAAATGCTGGCTGACTTGATCCACCAAATGGCGTGGAGGAACCAAATATACTGCTCCCAAATGCTGGCTGTGATGGTTGAGTTGTAGTTCCAAAAGGACTTGCTTGAGCAGGATTGGACCCAAATGCTCCAAACACAGGCTTCTGACCAAAACCAGATGAACCTGTTGAGAGAGGTGTGTGCATATGGGGGAGAGAAACAGAGAAAAAATCATCAGTGACAAGAAGTTATCAGAATAGCAAAACAATTGAGCACAGAGAGATGAATAACATGTAACCAAATAACATGTATGCATTGAGCATCCCATTATAATTAGATCAATCTTGTTGATGAGCTTCTAAAGTGGAAATGATTCCACACATGAAGTGGAATTCAAAGTGAACACATGCCCCTTGAAATACAAGATGAAACCAATCCCTATTCCACTCTCAAAGTCTTAATTCCCCCCTTATGATATTTGTCGTTTCACAAGCCAACTGCACCAATAGATGTGTACCAAATAGAAAGTTTCAACAACAATACATCCATCTTGTACAGCATGCATAATCCACTCATGCATTTCCAGAAAAACGCTTGATGCAAACTTGAAGGACATTAAGAATGATAGTAGACAATGCAAATGATTTCCAATAACCATATATCATAAAAGTTATATCAAATGAATCATTTGAAAAGGGGTAAGCGAACAAAAAAACGAAAAGAAAAAAAAAATTCAAATTCAATCCACTTGCTTACCACCAAAAGGTGATGGTGAAGAACTAGAAGTTGCTCCAAAAGCAGGCGTTGTATTTCCAAAAGCTGGTGAGGATGCAGCACCGAAGGTTGTGGAGGAAGGAAAAGATGAAGAGGCTTGAGTTGCGCCACCAAATACACCAGTTGAAGTTCCTCCAAACATGTTACTCCCTGTTTGCGCACCAAATGGGGTTGTGCTACCAAAAGGCTTAGGGGCAAAAGGATTGTTATTTGTGCTGCTGGTCTGCCCAAATACCGATTGAGACCCAAATGGGCTGCTAGATGACTGCCCAAAAGCTGTTAAACAATATTCCACAAGTAAGATTATTTTCGCAATGCAAAAAAATACCAAGCCCGAATATTTATCAGACAATCAAACAGTATAACCGGAAGACCAGATAAACACAATAAATAGCCCGTAATCAATCTGCTAATAAATGCACGTCATACTCATCTTACAACGAAGCAAATAAAAGCAAAATCTGACTCCAAGGATCAATAAAAGATATAGAGATAAAGAAAGCTTACGATTAGAAGAACCGAACATCTTCTCTTCCGATTCAGCAATCAAAACCCGTGCTATTTCCTTGATCTCGAGCTGCAATGCATACAGAACACAAAGTTAACACAAATTGCAGCACAAAACACCTATTTAACAAAGCATCGAGAAATCCCCAATACGCGAGACGAATAAAACGCAAACGACAGCATTAACGCATTAAATCAGGCATTAAACGCAATCGTAAACCTAATCACCAGAAGAAAACCAAGCGTTAGGGTTTTTTTAAGTACCTGAAAGTGAGCGAAGGCGAAAGTAGGGATTTGGAAGGCGGAGGCGTCGGGCGTCGGTCGTCGACCTGAACTCGACGAAGGTTGTGAGTTTTGAGATCGGAGGCGGCTGAAGGCGACGGAGAGAGGGCGAGGGAGGAGGGTTCGGAGCCGCGGAAGGGAAAAGAGAGAGCGAGGGCGAGTTGTCGCAACCTCCGAACTCTCACAAATGTCAGAAAAGGGAGAAGGCGAAAGGTATTTTTACACGAGTGGGGGGGAAGTGAGCGACGGGCGCGTCGCGTAAATAGTAAGCACGTAATGTTAGCGTGAAGAGTAAGTCCGCAAACCTATCCAAGGAAAGGGGAGTCTTTCACATCGGACAAGTCGGTTTTCAATATTTGTCCTCTTAAGATTTTTTTTCTTTTTTTTTTGTTGGAATACTTTTTTATGTATGTCCTTAACGACACGTTAACTTATTCGAAACTAGTGAAATCGCAAGTTAGATAAGAAAGTAAGTAGAGTTGAAAAAGGAAATGAGATAGAATGAAAGGATCGTATTGTTTTTTACCGACATATTTACTTATTTGAAACGAGTGAAATTGTAACTTAGGAAAGAAAGTAAGTAAAGCTGAAATGAAAAATACGATGAATAAAAGTACCGCATTGTTGTTAATGATATGTTTATTTATTCGAAACGGGTGAAATCACGAGTCAGAGAAGAAAGTAAGTACAATTAAAAAAGAAAATGAGTTTAATGAAAGTACCGCATTGTTGTTAATGTTATATTTCTTTATTTGAAACAGGTGAAATTACTCAAAGGCTACATCGAGCATTCAATCACACCTACATCTCCCTCTCTCTAAATCACTTTGCACTCACTGCTTTTTCTTTCACTTTCCCCGTTTCATAAAGAAAACAAAACATGATTAAGAAACAAAGATTATTGCCTGCACTCCCCAATCACCACTTACCACCTACCCTCTTCATGAAGTTGTGGAGGAAGAATTGAATTGAGTGAAATTGAGTTGAGGAGATATTGAAACATGATGAGATCAGAATCAAATTCTTGTTGAAAGTGTTTTTTAAAATTTCTTAGAATCGAAGTAAGAATCATATTTATTCATATAAGTTGTCTACTTAACCACACGATTAAGAAAGAAAACCAATAAAATTACTAAAATGCTCCTATTCCAATTAATCTAATTTTATATTTATAGTAAAATTTAAAAAAAATAATAATTTTTAAAACTTTGTGAGAAAGCTTTAAGTTTGTTTATTTACGATTTATTTTTTTGAAAATACTGAAAGGATATTTTTGTAGTTAATATAAGAAAACCCATCAAAAGAGAGCTATCTTGCTCTGTGATGCTCTCTTCTTCCCCATCTCCCTCACACCCCCCCCCCCCCCTCTTTTTTTTTTTTTAATGGTAAATCCCACTTTTCTTTTTTCTTTCTCATGAAGAAAGCACCCCATCCTTCTTGATTAGAAGCATCATCCTCACCGTTCGATCATTTTCGCATTAGATCAGCCACGTCCCTTTTTGCTGGCACAAAAAGAACAAAGTGAATGTTAGTTTCCCAAAACAAAAAAAAAAAAAAACAGTGAATGTTACAGAAACGTCCATTTTCTTTAATGTGAGTTTTAACATTAACAAAGTAAACGATCACTCAACGAAAATTAACACACGAAACCTTGTTTGCTAGATGGCAAGATAATGAGAAGGGCGGGATCACAACCATATCAAAGTAAGCTTAGGGCACGACTTCAAGTAACATAAAAGACGCTAAGCGCTAGTAGTATCACCTATTTGTGTAACACAGGAGTCTTGTTTCAACCCAAAAAGAACCCTAGATGGGAAAGGCACAGAACAATAAATCAGCTGCTCAACAAAATAGAGAAAAAAGTTAACCAAGCATCAATTAAAACCTTTTAGAATTAAAAATAGCTCCTTGACTAAAACCCATTAGGCTGCTTGTAGCACCAGCAGCAGTGAAGATCTCCAAATAGAGGTGGCAAATCAACTCATTGAGTTGTTAACGGGTATCCATTAAGACTTTTTAGTTTGATTTCATCTTACACTATCATTACACTACAAATCTTACCTCAATATTAAAGTGACATCAAATTGAATGGATCTTAATGGATGCCCATTAACAATCCGATAATGGACTAGTAAAAGAACCACCTTTCTGGGCAGCTGGAGGTGTGGGATTGAATGGATTTGAATTAAATGTGGAAGTTGTTGCAGTTGGAGTAGAAAAGGAAAATCCAGAGCTTGACGAACTAAAGAGAGATGGAGATGAGGTTTGAGGGAAAACTGTAAGAGGTTTTATACATATACGGGTCTTTTAAGGGAAGGGATCCCCATTTTTCAAACAAAATGAGGACACCCTCTTAACCATTAAATTTGACTTTAATGAAATTCTATGGTTGAGATTAAATCACATGCCACATAATCTCAACCACAGAATTTCATTAAAGCCAAATCTAACGATCAAGAGAGTATCCTCATTTAAAAAAAAAAATAGAAATCATTTTCCTTAAAGACTTCCTATATATATATATATATATATATATAAGGTATACAAAAGAATTACATTTTGTTTCCTCTTGTTTTTTTTTATTTGTCCATACTATGTCAAATAGATCGGGATCGGCGAGAATTTCTGAAATGTAAAGTTGTTGTGAAGCTGTATTAGTGAAGGATGGTGTTTTTGGAGCAAACAAATTAGATGAAGTTGTGGCAATTAGACCATCTCTAAAGAAGATGTTAAATTTTGAACATAAAATTTAAATTTGATAGCTTATGTGGCATTTTGACATATTTTCATGTTTTGCTCTCAACCCGATATGTCAAATTAAACTATTATTTTATTACATTATTTTTTTTTGTTAATTTCTGTCTTATACTTTAAATTTTATATATAAATAATTCATAATAAAAGTCATATTAATCTCTTGTCATCCAACGGCGCCCGGAGTATGAATTGCTCCGGCGGCACCGTCTTCTTCGGAGAAGTCGCCTTTTTGCGCTCCAAGAGCTCTTTGTGGAGATTTTGCAATCTGTGGTTTGGGAATTTGGGGGTTTTGAGGCGGATTTGGGTTGCGAGCTGCGAGAAGGAGGAGGAGAATGAGTTGTTATGGTAAGCGGATAGGTTGGGGACTTGTGTGAAGGAAGAAGAGAGCTCCATGAGTGAGGTGGGTTTTTTTCTTAGGAGGATGATAAGGGGGTGATGAGGGTTAAGAGAATAGGTCCGCCATGGATGGAGGGTTTTTGAAGGTGTTTGTGCAGGGTTATGGGAAAATGGAAGATGGATAATTGAAACAAATTTGCTGATTCAAAAAGAAGAAAGAGGTAGCGTTTTAAACTAACTATACCGTTCAACAATCAAATAATAAATGACATTAAAATATTAATAAAATACATTCAATAATTAGTAAAAAAAATATTTGAAGCTGTCGTCAAATTTGACAGAAAGTCCATTTGCTGTCATTCCATGTCATGCCATATAGGATTTGGCATTTCGATTGGAAACAATTAGTGGCTGTCTTTTTTTTAATGTTATAGTTTATGTGGATAAGGAGTTAAAAGGACTTGATGCTCGAGGAAATGTCTGTGCAAACGCGGAAAATTTCCAAGATACTGAAACATTATAACCAGAAACCATACATTTATTCCCCAATTGATTATCCTTACAACTAAGGGTCTAAAAGACGTTGGACACTAGTTGATCAGCCGGCAGAGACGTAGCGCCTAAGCGGCCTAAACAGATTTATGTAAATTTATTGTATATCTTGTAAATATGTGATTATTCACTTTTAAAAAAACCTATAATTTATGGATAATAAAAATAAAAGATAAAATGCAAAAATAAAAGTAGAAGAATACATAAAGTACATATATCTAACAAGTTCACTATTTAAAAACACATTAAACATATAATCATTGTGAGGAGTATACTTGGATGATGCATGTATCCAACAAGTTCACAATTTAAAAACACATAAAATGCAAAATAGAAGGAATAAGAAATATAATAATATTAGATACTTGCAAAGTTGCATAGCTAGGCATCACTCTTATTTCCATATCCCTCCAAGACTCTCTCTCTCTCTCTCTCTCTATGTTAGACTCAAACTCAATTTCATCATCTCCTTCCATGTCCTCATCCGATACAAAATCTTCATCATGAAGTTCTCTTACTTCAACATTTCTAAAACTTCTCCTAGCCTCTAGGGAACTACCCACCTCCAATGTCTCTCCATCCATTCCCGAATCAAGCTCAACTTCTTCATCACTACCCTCCACAATACATTCTTGCGTCATACTAGCTTCACTTGCAAGTAATATATCCACTTTCTTCTCCTTCTTTCTTTTCTTCTTGTTTATGATCTTTGCATTGAATTGGACAGACTAAATTATTTAATCTTGTTGTATCTAATCTATTCCTTTTCTTTGTATGTATTCCCCCAAAAGTGCTCAAATTCCTCTCACAACTGAATGAACTTGTAGTCAACGAGAGAATCTTTATAACCATCATTTGCAAATTAGGTATACAATTTCCATAAATATACCAACATTAAACTAAAGAAGGAAAATAAACACGATTAGTAAAGAAAAATAAGTAGCATAGCCAAATTTAATAAATAAAATACAAGCATATGTGAATATTAATACCCGGATTATAGTTGTCATCATTCTCAACGCATCCAATGTCGGCCAAATGTCTTCCAAATTCATCATCTTTTTGTCATACTTATGCATCTCAAACATTTGTCACTTGGTTTTGGACATCATATATCGGGAAATAACTTCCAATTTCTTCAACACACTTGTCAACATATTCAAAGATGTATTCTCCAGTGAGAGGTTCACTAGGGCATTCCTTGGAAGAAAGAAATATGGTGCTTTCCTTGCAATTAAGATACAAATTCAATATGCTTCTCCTTTTCAGGTCGCTCAAACCATCGGTCATAATTAAGCAACCATTCAAAGCCCACCCTTCTTCATTCTTCTTGAGTGAATTTTTCACTCTCTACCTCTTCTTTCAATATATAGGCTTTCTTAAATCGTATTGGCTTGAAGGTTGGTAACCCGAGCCAAATTGATCAACTGCTTGCACAAAGCGTTTGAAACTATCATCATCAATGGCATGGAAATGCCTTTTGGCTTTATACACCCATCGAGCCAAAAGTTGATGCTTGATGAGCTTTATCCTCCCAAATTGCATCATGGAAGTTTTGTTGCCCCGTCTTCTTGCTTTTTTGAAGAATTGGGATTGATTGTGGATCCCCTATCCTAATCCATGAGCGTGCGACCTTTTCCTTGACCCAACAACATCAATGTCTTCTTCCTCTTCACTTTGTTGAAGCTGAACCTCTTCCCTCACTTCAACATTTGACTTTATCCTCATCCAAAGACTTTGTGAACGCGGCTACATTTCCCTTTATGTTGGCTATGTGTTGGTTCAATTTATACACTCCACAACTAATTATTTCGTTGCACAACTTACACTGCACCTTAGCTGAGTTTTATAAGATTTGCTAGATCCCATACTCCCATCCCACATCATCCAAACTACGCTTCAACAAATTTTTGGTTTAGGAGGAGGACGACATTGCATTAGATGCTCCGAATGATGCAGTGCCTGTCATCTAAAAATAATATTCCATTATGAGAACCAAACCAAAATGAGAATTAGCATCAAAATCGATATCTCAAAAAATTTTAACCAAACCAATATGAGAACCATTCTCATCGAGTAAAGAGGAAAATGGGGTACGGTTACACTCAAAGCTTTCAAGAACACAACAGCTTCTAAAAAGAATAGGAAAATTTAATTGTACAAATGATGAACTAATTTAAACTGAGACTCAAATTTAAGTCATTTTTCGGTACGAATGATGAAGACTCAAATTCAAGTCATATTTTCGGTGATCTAGTTATGTAGTTAAGAACTTTGATATCAAACAAAGTAGGAAACCCATTAATCCATTTAAAAAACAGACCTTAAATTACTGATAGGGTTAAACTAATTGAACTATTATAAAAGTTAAAACAGAATAAGAATGGTAATTCAAACTTTGATATCTAGATGCAGATATACCAATTAAGTTAATTAACCCATTAACTTTATCTTTCCGTAATATCAAATCAAATGTTTCCATTGCAGATGCAGAAGTACCTGGAGACCGTGGGGATGCGAGATTGTATTTGCCAGAGACCTTGCACAAATTGTACAATCAGATGAGAGTTAGAGACGGAGTTGGAGACGGCTTAAGACCAGAGCTGGAGTTGTTGTAGACTTGTAGTTGCAGACCAAAAGATGATGGACAGACGCCAGGCGAGAGAGAATTGTGGAAATACTGCAATTCTATTTAGGCATTAGTTTACCAGGGGCAAGGACACTAGCCACTTAAGTAAATTATTTTTTAATAAATAAAAAAACCAACTGCCAAGCCGCCTAGGACCGCCTAGCTCCAGATGAATTTTACGATTTTACAAAACGATTTGCACAAAATCACAGCAGGCCTTTACCGCCTAGGCGGCCTAGACCAATTTTTAGAACATTGCTCCCAGCGAAATTCTTCATGACTTTTTTCTTTATATACTGGCATTGCTGATATTGACTCAAATTTCCCACTTCCACCATCGGGTTCAGGAGTTGCAGCATATTCAACCGTACCTTTATCCCCCAATTGATAATCCTCCCAGCGAAGTTCCTCATGACTTTTTTCTTTATATGCTGGCATTGCTGATATGGACTCCAATTTCCCAGCAGCACTAGTCCCAGTTCCACCATCGGGTTCAGGAGTTGCAGCATATGCAACCACTCTACTGCCTCCGCATTGCTGGCCCCCAAAAGCTGACTGCCCAAAGGCACCAGTGTTCCCAAATGTTGTTGATTGAGCTCCTGCATCACAAATTATAAGAATATAATACAACAACAACGATACAAAACAGCATCAGGCATCTGGCTGGCCCATTTTATTATTTCAAAATGTACCACCACTCACATGCATCTGGAATACTCACCAAATGGAGAACTCTGTGCTCCAAAAGGAGATGAAGAGGCAAATTGACTGCTACCAAATGTAGAACTTGATTGGCCAAAGGCAGAAGTTGATGGAAAGCTGAAAGATGGAGTACTGGATGAACCAAAACCAGGAGCACTTGAAGCACCAAAAGCTGGATTGGTTGAAGTACCAAAGGTCGAGCTAGATGAAGCGAAAGCCGGAGTGCTTGAAGCCCCAAAAGCTAACTGCCCAAAGGCACCAGTGTTCCCAAATGTTGTTGATTGAACTCCTGCATCACAAATTATAAGAATATAATACAACTACAACAATACAAAACAGGAACGAGGCATCTGACTGGTCCATTTTATTATTTCAAAATGTACCACCGCTCATGCATCTGGAATACTCACCAAATGGGGAACTCTGTGCCCCAAAAGGAGCTGAAGCGACAAATTGACTGCTACCAAATGTACAACTTGATTGGCCAAAGGCAGGAGTTGATGTAAAGCTGAAAGATGGAGTACTGGATGAACCAAAACCAGGAGCACTTAAAACACCAAAAGCTGGATTGGTTGAAGTGCCAAAGGTCGAGCTAGATAACCCAAAAGTCGGAGTGCTTGAAGCCCCAAAAGCTGACTGCCCAAAGGCACCAGTGTTCCCAAATGTTGTTGATTGAGCTCCTGCATCACAAATTATAAGAATATAATACAACGACAACGATACAACTGACAGATAAAACCTCAATGGCTATATGAATTAAGGAAACATAAAGATGCTCAAAACATATGTTACCTGACTGAGTTTGATTAAAAATGTCGAAGTTGAAACCACTACTCTGAGCTGGCTGAGATGAGAAAGGCATAGAAATAAAAGTTGGCTGCACGGGAAAGAAAATAAGGAAAAAAGTCAACCAATCATCAATTAAAACCTCTTACCAATTAAAAGTAAAAACAAAAAATAAAAAGTTACAGTTGGTTGACTTAAACCCATGCGACTACTTGTAGCCCCAACACCAAAGAAGATTGCCAAACCAAAGCAAGTGGAAGGGTTACTGAATGGCTGAGAAAAAGGAGTTGAATTCTGCCCAAATAGACTGGTAAAAGCACCACCTGTCTGGGCAACCGGAGGTGTGGGATTGAATGGATTTGAATTAAGTGTGGAAGTTGTTGTCGCAGCCGGATAAGAAAATGAAAATGTAGAGCTTGAAGAACTAAAAAGAGACGGAGGTGAGGTTTTAGAGAAAATTGTAGAAGGTTGTGATGGTGTAAAAGGACTTGTTGAAGTAGAAATCCCAAAACTTGATGAACTGAATGGTGTAGATGTTGTGAAGCCTGTATTAGTGAAGGATGAAGTTTTTGGAGCAAACAAATTAGATGAAGTTGTGGCATTAAAATGACTTGATGCTTGAGGAAATGTATGTGCAGAATTCAAAGGGTTTGGCTGTGAGGTAGTAATGCCAAACCCACGCCCACCAGCAGGAGCTGGACCACCTGGAAGTCAAAAAAGAAACATTTTGAACTTAGCAAATGTCATTATTGCTGACAAACGCAAAAAAGTTTCAAGATAATGAAACGTTATAAATAGAAACCATACCCTTATCCCCCAATTGATAATCCTCCCAGCGGAGTTCTTCATGACTTTTTTCTTTATATGCTGGCATTGCTGATATTGACTCCAATTTCCCGGCAGCACTAGTCCCAGTTCCACAATCGGGTTCAGGAGTTGCAGCATATGCAACCACTCTACTGCCCTCACGTTGCTGGCCCCCAAAAGCTGACTGCCCAAGGGCACCAATGTTCCCAAATGTTGTTGATTGAGCTCCTGCATCACACATTATAAGAATATAATACAACTACAACGATACAAAATAGAATGAGGCATCTGGCTGGTCCATTTTATTTTTTCAAAATGTACCACCACTCATATGCATCGGGAATACTCACCAAATGGAGAACCCTGTTCTCCAAAAATAGATGAAGCGACAAATTGGTTGCTACCAAATGTAGAACTTGATTGGCCAAAGCTAGGAGTGGATGGAAAGCTGAAAGATGGAGTACTGGATGAACCAAAACCAGGGGCACCAAAGGCTGGACTACTTGTAGCACTAAATGCTGGGGTGCTTATAGCACCAAATGCTGGGGTGGTGGTAGCACCAAATGCTGGGGTGCTTGAAGTACCAAAGGTCGAGCTAGATGAACCAAAAGCCGGAGTGCTTGAAGCCTCAAATGCTCCCCCAGATCTAAACAAGGGAGAACTTGACACCCTAAATGCAGCTCCTGTGCTTCCAAAGGTAGGACTAGTTGTGGAACCAAAGGCCAGGCTACTTGTAGCTCCAAAGGCTGGGGTGCTTGTAGCACCAAAGGCTGGGGTGGTGGTAGCACCAAAGGCTGGACTACATGTAGCACCAAACGCTGGGGTGCTTGAAGTACCAAAGGTCGAGCTAGATGAACAAAAAGCCAAAGTGCTTGAAGCCCCAAATGCTCCCCCATATCCAAACAAGGGAGAACTTGACACCCCAAATGCAGCTCCTGTGCTTCCAAATGTAGGACTTGTTGTGGAACCTAAGGCCAGGCTACTTGTAGCTCCAAAGGCTGGGGTGCTTGTAGCACCAAAAGCTGGGGTGGTGGTAGCACCAAACGTTGGGGTAGTGGTGGCACCAAAGGCGGGACTACTTGTAGCACCAAACACTAGGGTGCTTGTAGCACCAAACGCTGGGGTGCTTGTAGCACCAATAGCTGGGGTGGTGGTAGCACCAAATACTGGGATGGTGGTAGCACCAAATGCTGGGATGGTAGTAGCACCAAAGGCTGGACTACTTGTAGCACTAAAGGCTGGACTACTTGTAGCACCAAACGCTGGGGTGCTTGAAGTACCAAAGTTCGAGCTAGATGAACCAAAAGCCGAAGTGCTTGAAGCCCCAAATGCTCCCCCAGATCCAAACAAGGGAGAACTTGACACCCCAAATGCAGCTCCTGTGCTTCCAAGACTTGTTGTGGAACCAAAGGCTGGGCTACTTGTAGCTCTAAATGCTGGGGTGGTGGTAGCACCAAAGGCTGGACTACTTGTAGCATCAAACGCTGGGGTGCTTGTAGCACCAAACGCAAAGGTGGTGGTAGCACCAAATGCTGGGGTGGTGGTCGCACCAAAGGCTGGACTACTTGTAGCACCAAACGCTAGGGTGCTTGAAGTACCAAAGGTCGAGCTAGATGAACTAAAGGCCGGAGTGCTTGAAGCTCCAAGTGCTTCCCCAAATCCAAACAAAGGAGAACTTGACACCCCAAATGCAGCTCCTGTGCTTCCAAATGTAGGACTTGTTGTGGACCCAAAGGCCGAGCTACTTGTAGATGCAAAGGCTGGGGTGGTGGTAGCACCAAGGGCTGGACTACTTGTAGCACCAAATGCTGGGGTGCTTGTAGCACCAAAAGCTGGGGTGGTGGTAGCACCAAATGCTGGCTGACTTGATCCACCAAATGGCGTGGAGGAACCAAATATACTGCTCCCAAATGCTGGCTGTGATGGTTGTGTTGTACATCCAAAAGGACTTGTTTGAACAGGATTGGACCCAAATGCTCCAAACACAGGCTTCTGACCAAACCCAGATGAACCTGTTGAGAGAGGTGCGTGCATATGGGGGAGAAAACAGAGAAAAAATCATCAGTGACAAGAAGTTATCAAAATAGCGAAACAATTGAGCTCAGAGAGATGAATAACATGTAACCAAATAACACAGGAATTGTATGGATTGAGCATCCCAGTATAACTAGATCAATCTTGTTGATGAGCTTCTAAAGTGAAAATGATTCCGCACATAAACTAAGAAGCAAAGTGAGCACATGCCCCTTGAAATACAAGATGAAACCAATCCATCACACAAAAAGTACAGCCAGAGTAGTAAAGGCATGGTAATAATCCCTATTCCACTCTCAAAGTCTTAATTCCCCCCCTTATGATATTTGTCGTTTCACAAGCCAACTGCACCAATAGATGTGTACCAAATAGAAAGTTTCAATAACAATATATCCATCTTGTGCAGAATGCATAATCCACTAATATCACCTACTGAAAGTATAATCCACTCGTACATTTCTAGAAAAACACTCAATGCAAACTTGAAGGGACAATGCAAATGATTTCCAATAACCATATATCATAAAAGTTATATCAAAAGAATCAGTTGAAATGTGGTGAGCGAACACAAAACGAAAAAAAAAAAAAAAAAAAAAATTAATCCATTGACTTACCAACAAAAGGTGATGGTGAAGGACTAGAAGTTGCTCCAAAAGCAGGCGTTGTATTTCCAAAAGCTGGTGAGGACGCAGCACCAAAGGTTGTGGAGGAAGGAAAAGGTGAAGAAGCTTGAGTTGCGCCAAATACACCAGTTGAAGTTCCTCCAAACATGTTACTCCCTGTTTGCGCACCAAATGGGGTTGTGCTACCAAAAGGCTTAGGGGCAAAAGGATTGTTATTTGTGCTGCTGGTCTGCCCAAATACTGATTGAGACCCAAACGGGCTGCTAGACGCCTGCCCAAAAGCTGTTAAACAATATTCCACAAGTTAGATTATTTTCGCAACGAAAAAAATTACCAAGGCCGAATATTTATCAGACAATCAAACATTATAAACAGAAGACCAGATAAACACAATCAATTGCCCTTAAACATGCCGCTAATAAATGCATGTCATACTCATCTTACAACGAAGCATATCACATATGATTGATGAAAAATACAGAAAGCAATTATTTGTATCGGAACCAATTAAAATATATTGAATGCAGTTAAAATGATGCAACAAAATCTGACTCCAAGGATCAATAAAATATATAGTGATAAAGAAAGCTTACGATTAGAAGAACTGAACATCTTCTCTTACGATTCGGCATTCAAAACCCGGGCTATTTCCTTGATCTCGAGCTGTAACGCATACAAAACGTTAACACAAATTGCAGCAAAAAAGACATATTTAACAAAGCATCGAGGATTCAAAAACACAAGAAATCCCTAAAACGCGAGTCATATAAAACGCAAACGACAGCATTAACGCATTAAATCAGGCATTAAGCGCAATCTTAAACCTAATTGCCCGTAATCATGCTGCTAATAAATGTATGTCATACCATCTTGCAACGAAGCAAATAAAAAGTGTATCGATATCTTCCGAAAAATCGATATATGATTGATGAAAATACAAAAAACAATTATTCGTATCGGAACCAATTAAAATGCACTGAATGCAGCTTTGATGATGAAACAAAATCTGACCCGAAGGATGAATGAAAGATATAGAGATAATGAAAGCTTACGATTAAAAGAACCGAACATCTTCTCTTACGATTCGGCAATCAAAACCCGTGCTATTTCCTCGATCTTGAGCTGTAACGCATACAGAACACAAAGTTAACACAAATTGCAGCACAAAGCACATATTTAACAAAGCATTCAAAAACGCAAGAAATTCCTAAAACGCAAGTCGAACAAAACGCAAACGACAGCATTAACGCATTAAATCAGGCATTAATCGCAATCGTAAACCTAATTACCAGAAGAAATCCAAGGATTATGGTTTTCTAAGTACCTGAAAGTGAGCGAAGGCGAAAGTAGGGATTTGGAAGGCGGAGGCGTCGGTGATCGATCTGAACTCGACGGAGGTTGTGAGTTTTGAGATCGGAGGCGGCAGAAGGCGGAGGAGAGAGGGCGAGGGAGGAAGGTTTGGAGTCGCAGAAGGGAAAAGAGAGAGAGCGAGGGCGAGTTGGCGCAGCTTCCCGAACTCTCACAAATGTCAGATGGGATGTTATGGAATTTGGGAAGTCTGAATTGTGAATATGTAAAGCTGAAAAGGAAAGTTAGTGGACTGACAAATATTGTATTGGTTTAACAACACGTTAATTTATTCGAAACAAGTAAAACAATCGCAAGTTGGACGAGAAAGTACGTAGAGTTGGAAAAGAAAACAAGTTGAATGAAGTATCATATAGACTCTACCGACATGTTTACTTAATAGGAAAGAAAGTTGGTAAAGCTAAAATGAAACTGTTGTTGAATGAAAATACCGTTTTATTGTTAATGACATGTTTACCTATCGAGACAGCTGAAATCACGAGTCAAAGAAGAAATTAAATACAATTACAAAAGAATGAGTTGAATGAAACTACCGCATTGTTGTTAATGGCATCCAATCACAACTCCATCTCTCTCTCTCTCAATCACTCTGCACTCACTGCTTGTTCTTTCACTTCCTCCACTTCATATAAAAAAAAAAGAAACGAAACAAAGATTATTGCCTGCACTCCCCAACCACCACTGACCCTCCTCTTCCTGTAGTCGTGGAGGAAGAACTGAATTGAGTGGCAATAAATTGAAGAGGAATTGACATGGGCAGACGTAGAATTGAATCCAGTTCATTTTTCTTTCTCGTGAAGCCCGCACCCCATCCTTCTGGTTCTTCTTCCACATCCTCCAACTCTTTTCAGCTTCCCATCTTTTGGGTAGAAAAAGTTGATTCCGCATGCAGGATTTCTCCCGGAATCCGAATGCCAAACATTGTTCGGAGTCAGATTCCGGAAAAATGGGAGTCTAATCTCCATATTATATGGGTCCCACATATATTTTTATTAAACATTTGAATCACATGGAATATTGAGTGCAATTGTCGTTCATCCTCTCGTTCCACTCTCGGCGTAAACACGCCATTAAGTTCCCCCCTTTCCTCCCATGCTTCCCACTCTTATTAAATAAATAACCTTTTCTGCGTCCTCTTTCCAATTTTATATCTTTCTGATTAAACAAATATGGAAACAAATACCACTGGAAATTACCATTTCTGCAGTTCTGAGGTTCTGTCTGACGTACTATTCTACTGGGGGAGGTCAGGAAGGTCTAAACAGAGAGCCTTGGCTGAGATTTTTTTTCACATTAGGTAAAAAAAGCACTTTCTATTTCAGAAGCTTTTTCTTTAGAGAAATACAAGTTACCCAGTTTGCATCTGCTGCTTCTGAGTACAAATCTTTGCTTGTTTTCAGTGGACTTTCTTGGGTTTGTGATATTTTTGCCAATAAAATTTGGGGGATAGAAAGATTCAGACTTCAGTGGAGTTTCTTCTAAGATTTTGTGAGAACTTTAGGGTACTGAGTACCTTGTTTTGTTTCTAGATTCAAACTTCTGTTGCTGGAAATAGGTACATTTCTGAGTGCATTTCATTTCTTTTTCCTTCCATTTCCTAAATTTTTACGTTTTTTTGTTTAATGGGATTTTTGAGCTTTTCCTTCCGAGTGTTTGGATCTTGTTCTTGCTTTGTGAGATTTGCATTTTTTGCTTTGTTTGTGTTTCCAAGCTAAATATGTAAGTTTTATTGATGTTGGGTTTATCATTTATGAGCAAAGATTGAATCTTTACATATTTGGTTGATAGAGTAGTGAGGGATCCTAATGTTTTGCATTTTGCTTTTTCTGCTTATTCCTATACAGAGATATGTATGTTTTTTTTATGTGTGGTTTATGATTTATGAATAAAGATTGAATCTTTACGTTTTCGATTGATTGTTACTGTTAAGAGTGTGATCTTGTTTAATTGTGAATGGTTATATTAATTGGGAACTTATGATTTGTGAAAAAGGCTCGAAATTCTTGAGGTATTGGTTGATGGGTAAAATGTGATTTCTTGATGCTTCGTTCGAATTGGAACTTCTTGCAGAAAGAAAAATATGACAATGGATTGTAGTGGTGGATTGCCAAAGCACCATTACCTAGAATCCAAGAAGAAGAAGCTCACTTGGATCTTCGGGGTTAGTGCCTTGTGCGTAGTATGTTACATGTTAGGAGCTTGGCAAACCATTTCTGCCCCTGTCAATCAATCTGAGCTGTACCAAAGGTTCAGTTGTGATGAAACGTTATCTCAATCCGGGAACAAAACTTCCTCATCTGTGTCATCATCATCGCTTCATTTGGACTTCGAAAGCCATCATCAAGCAGACAGCAACAAAACCGAGGCTGTCCAGAAGTTCCCACTGTGTGACATGTCTTATATCGAGTACACTCCATGCCAGGATCCAACAAGAGGGGATAAATTTGATAGGAACATGTGGAAAAACAGAGAGAGGCATTGCCCTACCAAAGAAGAACAACTTCTTTGCCTTATTCCTGCTCCACCAAAGTATAAGATCCCTTTCAAGTGGCCTCAGAGTCGTGATTTTGCTTGGTATGACAACATTCCCCGTATAGAACTCAGCATTGAGAAAGCTGGCCAGAATTGGATTCAAGTCGTGGGTGACAGGTTTAGATTCCCCGGGGGAGGTACCATGTTTCGGAAGGGAGCTGATGCGTACATAGATGACATTGACGCGCTCATTCCTCTCACTAAGGGCAACATCAGAACTGCAATCGATACTGGCTGTGGTGTAAGTAGCACATATATATGTATAATTGATTCACACTCCTACATTGCTAAAAAATTCTGATGCACTTTCCTGTTTGGGTATTTAGGTAGCCAGTTGGGGTGCCTACCTGTTGAAGAGGGACATCGTGACAATGTCTTTTGCGCCAAGAGATACGCATGAAGCACAGGTCCAGTTTGCGTTGGAGCGCGGAGTTCCTGCTATGATTGGTGCCCTGGCTTCAAAGAGGCTTCCCTACCCTGCAAGGGCTTTCGATATGGCCCATTGTTCCCGCTGCTTGATCCCTTGGATGAACTATGGTAAGTGTCTATGTCTCACTTTCTAGTTTGCTTCAACATATTAGACTATCTCACATTACTTGAAGTTTTTGGAGCTGCATACTTCAAGTAGGCATGTGTGTGTGTGTGTGTATATGTATATATCTATTCAAACCTCCTGAACTAACAGCTTCAACTAAATTTTGGATTAGATACCAATTTCATATGATGTGGTTTCAAAAGCATGTGGATTTTCTCTTGGACTATTTTTGCAGATGGTATGTATCTAATTGAAGTGGACAGAGTTCTAAGGCCTGGTGGTTATTGGATTCTTTCCGGGCCGCCTATTCACTGGAAAAAAAACTGGAGGGGATGGAACAGAACTCGAGAGGATTTGAAACAAGAGCAAGATTCTATTGAGTCTGTTGCAAAGCGCCTGTGCTGGAAGAAGGTGATCGAGAAGAACGATCTTGCAATCTGGCAAAAACCTATCAACCACGTCAAATGCGTTAAGAGCAGGAAGGTGTATAAAACACCACATATATGCAAATCAGACAATCCAGATATGGCTTGGTACTACTCCCTGAGCTTCATTCGTGATTTCGTTTATTTGATTTGGAATGCAAATTCTCCTGTACTTAACTCTGCTTAATGTGCCATGTTTTGTGCTTAAAAGGGAAAGAGACATGGAGAGATGCATTACTCCTCTACAGGAGACCAGCAATCCCAATGACGTTGCTGGTGGGGCGTTGGAGAAATGGCCGGAGCGTGCATTTGCTGTCCCTCCTAGAATCAGCAGTGGTTCAATACCAGGAATCACTGCTGAGAAACTCCGCGAGGATAATCAACTGTGGAAAGAAAGGGTGGAACATTACAAGCGTATCATACCAATTTCCAATGGAAGGTATAGGAATGTGATGGACATGAATGCTTACCTCGGTGGATTTGCTGCAGCGTTGTCAAAATATCCGGTGTGGGTTATGAACACAGTCCCTGCCAACTCAAACCAGGACACCCTTGGAGTGATTTACGAACGGGGTTTCATTGGAACATACCAGGATTGGTGCGGGGCATTTTCAACTTATCCCAGAACATATGATCTAATCCACGCTGGGGGAGTCTTCAGCATATATCAGGACAGGTAAAGCTCATTCCGCGACAATATGCCGTTGGTCTTTGAGTTTTGTTACTTTGAGGCCTAATGTGGTTTGTACATTGCAGGTGTGACATAACACTCATTTTACTGGAGATGGATAGGATACTGAGGCCGGAAGGAACGGTTGTGTTTAGGGATACTGTAGAGATCCTGGTGAAAATAAAGGCGGTTACCGACGGAATGAGGTGGAAGAGCCACATTAGGGATCATGAAAGTGGACCTTTTAATCCAGAGAAAATTCTTCTTACTGAGAAAACTTACTGGACTGGTGAAGAAAAAAAAGAAAGGTAGTAGAGATGTGGTAGTATATTCTCTTTTTTTTCTCCATTTGCTTGCAACTCTACTTTTTCTTTTTTTTTTTATTTGAGCTTTTATTCTACGGAAAACTAATGAAAAGTTCAAAAAAACTTCAGTTTTAATGAAAAATGACAAATAAAAGTGTAGTGAATAGTACAAGGGAAAGATAAAAATATAATTTTTCGTTAAAAGTGAACAGTACCGAGAGTGTTTCGTTAAAACTCCCTTTATTCTAACTCTCTTGGTGCATAATCAATGTTATGCTCTAGGATTTTGTAAAAGAATTAATATTGATTCATTGAGATAGTGAAATGGCATCATATGTTAAAATTAATTTGAATAATGGAAGGCAGTCCAAAGTTCCTAACTACATCCCCTAACTCATAGTATTTGAGTTAAGGTATTCAAACTCTAAATTCATATCTGCAAGCGACTTGTAGTTTAAGTGATCAATAATTTTGACTTATCGATACAAGATATGATATTTAATTTTTCCCTATCCAAGATTATTAATAAGTGGATTAAGGTCTTGGACTTGTTATGAGACTCTAAGAGTCATCAGCCTGGTAATAGGCTATCTAAACACAACTTATAACTCAAGTGATTAAAAATATTTATTCATTTATTTAAGATTATATGTTTGACTTTATCGAATTGATCTTGAAAGTTTTGTCGAGGAGATTAATTTATTTGAAACGGATTTAGCTGCTAGCGTGGCGTCCAAACCAACAAATTGCAACGATAAGATGTTATGCAAACACACTACCTAATGAGAAAGAAAATAAAGTCGTATTATCTTTAATGACATGTTTATTTATACGGAGTTAGTGAAGTCGTGAATCACGAATATGCAAAGCTGAAAAGGAAAGTGAGTTGAATGAAAAATATTGTATATTTTTAGGGCCACGTTACCCTATTCGAAACTGGTGAAATCTGCAAGTTAGATAAGAACGTAAGTAGAGTTGAAAAAGAAAATGAGTTGAATGAAAGTATTGTATCGTCCATACTAACATACGTATTTGGAATGGGTGAAATTACAGAATTAGTAAAGCTATGAAAGCAAACGAATTGAATGAAAATGCACATTGTTGTGAATCACATGTTTAATTCATTTGCAATTATTGAATTTGCGAGTCAAGAAAAAAAAGTAATGTTAAAAAGGAAAATGAGACGAAGGTATTTTTATTATCTTTAACGACATATTAACTTACTCGAAATGAGAGAAGTTGCAAATCAAGAAAATGAAAAAAAATCAATTAGGACATCTTCAATCGAGGGCGTTTATAAAAATGTATACTTTCAATAACTATTCCAGATAAGTAAACACGCTATAAGTTTCACCCTCAAATACTGCTCAAGTAACTAGAGAGGGTGAGATTAGAATTGAAAGAGCTACATAATCATTTGAAAATTCATGCGTTTCTTTTCTTCTAACTCAAGTCTAAGTACGTATCGTAGTCGAATCAAGAAACTTAACTCTGATACTAACTAATCTAAATCTTTGGATTCGAAATCTCTTCTCCCTAATAGCTTGTAACAGTCAAGTAGAACAACATTTCAGATTAAACACAACAACATACGAATTTTCACATCAGAGGCATGGTCGAAAGTCCATATTGAATCCACGGTGCCGCTCGGGAATGAATGACGGAATACTAAGACATTCACAGCTAATGAGATTAGAATTATTTTCTCCGTAACAAACAAGTAAACTCAAAACTATTTGTTAGAGGGACGGGAATGAATGACGAAATACTAAGACGTTCACAGATAATGAGATCTGGTTCATCTCCCAATGTTTTTCCAATGACAGTGAATAGCATTTAAGATCAAACAGAAGATATACCCCTTTTTGTTTCTTCGAATTTGGATCAAGAACAACGACAGTCAATCTAAAACTTAAACATGCATGGGGGATACATTAAGTACAAGAGATAACTTACAACTGTCCCAAATGATTCTGACCAAGAATGCCTGCTGAATCACTGAAGCAACCTGCGTTTCATACAGAGGCAAGGCAACCAATTCATAAAAGTCACTACCATCAACTGAACACGAGCTGATAACACATCCATATAATTAGATAGAGGCTATTGACAAGCTTCTAAAGTGGATATAGTTCTACACATGACTGACATCAACAAGCATGAAAAACCACATGCTAGTGCAAGGCAGGAAAATGAAGAATCGAACATACTTATATTCCTGAACTGGTAATATTCCCATCTAAGTTCCTCGTGACTTTTATCTTCAGAAACCAGCATGCTCGATATTGACTGCAATGTACTCGCTTCACCTCCTGTGCTCCCAAAGAGAGCGAGAGAGAGTCTTCAGTCATTAAAGGCATTCAAAATAATGGAGTAATTGCGCATATAAAGATGACTCTCTAAAAATGAACTCAAGAACATGTTAACCAAATAACAAAGAAATACTGCGGATAACAAATACATGTAAGCCGGTAGAGGTTATTGACAAGCGACTAAAGTGGAAACTACAAAATATACTACTTGTCAATTAAATGGTACCTCTATTCCCCAACTGATAATCTTCCCATCTAAATTCCTCGTGACTTTTATCTTCGCAGACAGGCATCCTCGATATTGACCAAATTCTTTCTAACGCTCCAACTCCTGCGCTTCCAAATGTAGAGAGGGAGTCGTCAGTGTTTACAGGTTTTCCAAACAATGAACTAATTGAGCGCAGAGACATGACCCTAACAAATACAATAATTTTCTTAAAGGCATCAAAGTCCGGTAGGTCTTTATTCCAATCTCTAGGACTCTAATTTCGTTTCTACTTCTTCTACGACAAGAACATAAATGCAAATGAGGTGCCATGGTGACAGTATCTCGAGACAATCGTGTAATTCCTTATACAAGCAAGTATAGACTACGTAAAACACTATAATTTGAGTGAACAATTGTCGCCTTAAATATAAAACAATTCAATTCCTCACACAAAAAAATAAACATTTAGCTCTTCCAATTTTAAAATCCTAACTGTTTAAACAACATATCCAATCTCATAGAGAAATCGCAGGATCAAACAGCTGAAGGGAAATTAAATATACTGGAAATTGCACTTTAGTCCTGCAGAGAAAACAGAATTGGAAGAAAGCCCCAACAATCTCATCTATTTTCAGTAAAATCTCAATATTATCAAACGGTTGCAATGCAATTCAGAAGAATCGTCGTCGGAGCTTACCAACCAACGTGTGCTTAATTCCATCTACAGTAAATCTCATCCACTTCTCCCTAAAATTCCAAACAACAGCGCCTAGAGACGCGAGCCAATCGGCCCCGAACACCACGTCGCAATCCGGCAGCGGAGAAACGTGAAAGTCCGAAACATACTCGTATTCTTCAATCTCCACCCGCAGATTCGACACGACGTCGTCGGTTCTCGCCGCCGTGCCGTTTGCAAGCGGAAAAGAAGGGGAGAGATTCCGATCGACTTCGAGGCCGAGTTCACCTACTATAGATGTGCTTATGAGGTTCAGGGCGGATTCGGAAGCCACCGACACAAGGATAGTTCGACCGGCGATGAATCCGACGAGTCGCATTGGTTGCGGCCGAGCTCTGGTTTCCATGGCGTCCGGTTTCAGAGAGAATGGAGGTTTTCCGGTGTGTAATTAGGGAACTAGGGCAGTTGAGCTTTCTGACATGTGGATTTGGCGGTAAAATGTTGAGGGAAGGGAGGAGAGCTTTTAGCTCCCGCGAATCATGGGAATGTCAGAATTCGGAGAAAGGCCAAAGGTTTCCTAAATTATAAATTTGGCGATAATTTGAAAGTATAATTGTATGGTTTGAAATTTCTGGGCTGGGCTCCTAGACTTCAGGTGAATCAAATTGGACTATTTTGGGGCCCAGAACGACTATCCAAAAAAAAAAAAAAAAAAAATTCTCATCACTACATTACTTGTAAAGTTAGTCACTAGACAAGGTAGTGTATTCATCTCCTTTCAGCTAAGTTCAAATTCTCTTCTCTATAACGTCGAGCAGGTTAAATTATTGCATTATAAATCAAAATTGACAAAATTTATCGTGTTGTTTACTTTATTCATATTTTTTTGTTTCAACTGGGTATATATGTGTATATTGCATGCAACATTGACATTTTGCCAGAAATGCGACCTTGAGACTTAAGGTTAGGGTTTTGGGATTAGTATTCAAATTATACATTAAATCTTTATATATAAAGCCAACAACCCCTTTTAGGGTCACAAGATTCACCAAAAAGATTTAGACAAAAATGCCCCTAAAACAAAAAAAATTTCAAAAGCAATCCAAAATAATGCACCAAATAATGCAGGGATATTTTCGTCATTTTAACAGTATTATTTTAATAATTAATTTTATTGTACAATTTTTTTTTAAATTAGTACCTCGCAATATGCTAGCAATAATGTGATTCAATCAGTTGTTCATTAAAATTTATTTTCTCTATTTTTAAACACGTTCAAAACATCTTAATATGCTTGTAATGCCGATTATAAAAAAAGTCATTTGTACACTCATAATAATGTGATTAAATTAGTTGTCAAATGATTGTTTTTTTTTTTTTTTTGGAACAAACAATATTATCTACACTTTGGGGGGAGCGAGGTGGGCTTAGCCTTACAATGGGTTAGTAATAATGTGATTTAATCAGTTGTTTATTAAATATTATTTTCTCTATTCTTAATGTAAATTCAATAGAATGTAGATGGAGATTGAAAGACCGATTTTATTATGTGAATTCAGTTGTTTTGATTGGTTTGGGAGGTGTTTTTTCTTGCATGATATAAGATTATTCATTTACTTTAAATATCTGACTTTCCTTTTGTCAATTCATGCATATAAATACATTTAAAACATGTAAGTCACGCGTAGCACGCGGTGATTCAAAAAATGCCTTCTACACGCGCGTGAGTGCATGCATAAGGGCTAGTGATAATTTAATTTGAGCATAAGATGCAACAACAACACATATCAATTTATTCAAAATTATTTTCGACTCTAATACACACGTACATGATCATGCTAGATACAAGCATAATCCTCTAAACTACATATTAATGAAATCCTCTTTGTCAACCAAAAGAGGGTGAAAAAACATCTTTATCTTCTATTATAAACTAAAATAATGGATAATAAAGTAATTTTGCACAAATTAAATTTTATATTTTTTAAAAGTATCACCTACAAGTGATCTTAACAAATCTCTAATTTAAAAAATAAAAATAAAAACAAAAACTTATCGAGCATCTTCACTTTCTCTCTTTCTCTCCCTCTCTCCTCGTCTTGAAAACAAAAATAAAAAAAATTATCCACACACAAAATGTATGAAGCCATATGCTAATGTCTTTTAATTTAAGTGAACTAATAACACTATCTTAAGAATATAGAAATGCCACATGATACTACCATCAAATTGAAATTAAAATCAAATAAAATTTCAATCGCAAGTGTCATGTATCGAAATTCGAATCTACAAGAAAACTCATTTACCTTTAATAGCATAATTCCATTTTTTTTATATTAGAGATGGCCATAGACAACAAAACAAAACGTATGACAAGGCATTGAGAGCATGTCATTGTATACGTAAGCAAATATAAAGAACTTACTAGTGTTATTGAAAGTGGAGCGAACGAAAACAAAAAAAGCAGGTTGTGCAATGTCGATTTTTTAATTGGTTTATTAATAAAACAAAATATCATTAACGTCGTACCCAATCATAAGAAATACGAGATCGAAATCTCCCAAATACCCCTAGTAAATTCCCTCCCTGTAGTGCTTTTCGCTCTCTCTCCCCTCTCTCTCCTTCCCCTTACCAAAAAAAAGCAGGTTGTGCAATGTCGATTTTTAATTGGCCTCATGATTCGGCTCGACGCCGATGGCAATCCCTCTTTCAATTTTTCTAGCCTTCCTCCTTTATATTCTCATTAATTGTTGCTTATTTATTTTTGTTTTAGTATTTCCCTCTATAAGTGTTTTCGTAATGTGGTTATTTGTGAGTTTTTCCTCATGAATATTTTAATATTGTGTTGGTAAGTTATTGGCTGCTCTTGAGATTATTTTGTTGAAAGTGATATCATTGTTGATGGTGTTGCGCATAAAAGTCATAGTAGCATGGACATTAGTTGGTTCATAGTCAGTTCCTTTTTAAAGTCGGCGCTAGTCGTTGACAAACCGTGAGCTCATGTTTGTTATATTCAAGGCCTTGTGTGTAGAAGTTCATAAAATGGTAATTCGCTAAATGTGGAGTTTCTCTTGCTTTGGAATGCCATATCAGTGCCCTCAGTTTGTGTGTAAATGATTTCAAGACTTGGATGTGTTCCTTTGCTTATTATCAAGTTTGTCTCGCCCTCAAACCTACTTGTACCGATGATTATGAATTTCGCCAAGTTAGCTTTTTATGTTTTGTTAAAGTTTCTCTGGGTTGAGGATCTATCGAATGTTATCTTAAATGAGCTCTTTGATATTCCTATCAATTCTTAACATTATATAATAAACCAATGTAGTTTCATCTAAAAAAAAAATATCTCGCTAGTAAGTGAAATGGTAATTTATACAAAAAAATGGGATAATTCTACTAAATTCATCTAAATTACGCTGGTTTAGCCAACTTAACTAAACTCATATCTGACAAGTTAAACTATATATTCAATGATTTTTCATCTAAGAAATAATACTCACTCTTTTTCTCCTAATACACATCTTTATTTAATTATGTACGTTATTTTCGTTCGAAATATCTAATTGTGGTATTTTGGGTATTTCACGCCCCTTCATCCATCCTCCCGTCGCATCGACAAGCGACATATCGTATGCAATGATGCATCGAAAACTACAATAAAAAGAAACGGGAAGCAAAAAACAACTGCTGACCATTTCTCCAATTATTTTAATCCTCCGACGTTTAAAACAATTAAAGCCTACAAGACTAGAACGGCGACGTTTTTGTCACCTTGTTATCTGTCGGCTTCTTCGATTCCCGGATTCTTCAGCTATCCTAGAGTATAAATCGACGACCAATCCGTTCTCTGACGGTTTCAATCAGAGACCGAAGCAAAACGAGGACGGTTTTAGTAAATGGGTTTGCGCGAACAAAACGACGGCGTACGGAGGAGTAAGAAATCATCGACGAGGGGGCACCACCGGTTCGTGGGGGTGCGGCAGAGGCCGTCCGGGAGGTGGGTCGCGGAGATCAAGGACTCTCTGCAGAAAGTGAGGCTCTGGCTTGGGACTTTTGACACCGCGGAGGACGCGGCTCGTGCCTATGATGATGCTGCCCGAGCACTCCGCGGTGCCAACGCCCGAACCAATTTCGAGCTGCCACAGAGTAATGGGGCCGGCAATGGTGGCGCGGGCGTGGCGGAGAATGTGCCTTTTTCGTTTGAGGCGGTGTGTGGGAATGAGGTGGAAGCTGAGGGGTTGCTGGGGGCACTTAGAGCTAAGTTGCAGGATGGTAAGGTGATAAATCGTGTGCTTCCACAACCACCGCAAGGAAATCGTGGCACTAAAGCGGCGCCGTCTCCGGTTGATCCACGTGGTGCGGTTACTGAATCCGTCAATCCGCGACCGCCCCACATGGAGAATCCAGTTGTATTAGATAATCAGTGGCAACTTCAGGTTCACCCAGCACCATCAAACCAAACCATGGTGTGGGCCAACGAGAGCCAAGTAGCATATGAGCAAGTGCAAAATTGGTCCACGTGGCCGAATAACAGTATGCCGTATGTACCAGAACAGTGCTCTATGGAGCTTCCGTTGCCGGCCGTGGGCACGCAGCTTCTGTCACAGATTGATGGTAGTGCTGATGGTGGTGATGATGGTGATGGTGGTTGGTGTTCAGATCAGCAGCAGTTTTTGCACTGTGACGGTAGCAATTGGGGAGGAGCTAATGCCAATTGGGATCCTCCTTTTTATGCTTCCTCCGTGCTAGGGTGATGGGATCATATCATATAATTAAAAGAATTTTAACGAAAAGCTCTCGGTAGTGTTCACTTTAATAAAAAATCATATTTTTACATTAAAAGTCAATCCTGATACTATTCACTTTACCCTTTATTTCGACCTTATCGTTAAAACTCAAAGTTTTCAAGCTATTTTCATTAGTTTTCCTTATAATTAATCTATGTAGTTCTTTTTGTTTTACCATTTTAACCTTACAACATAGGCTTTGCAGGCTAATCAATTCTTTCATGTATGTGCCCCAATAAATTATGAACCCTTCTAGGGTATGCATTTCCTACCGTCATTGATAAGTTGCTCACGAAAGGGTGAGATCTTTTGTAGTTTAGCATGAGAGTTATCCTTATTGGACAACTCTATCAAAGTTTCTCTTGTTTACGTGTTGCAGTAGTTAGAACTACCTTAAAGAAGATGTAATCGATATTTGTACATTTATATATGGTTTAGTTAATAATTTTTAACATGTATTTAAGCTTGGGATTCTAGCAATTATTTTCATTCGCGTGATTTTTGAATTTGTCAAACTGAATTACCATCATGAAAAGGAGTTGTACTGAGAAAAAAGAACTGCAAAATTTGGGATTTGGTCACGTTTCAAAACTTGCTACATCAATCCATCAAACAAGAAACACCAAAGTAATGCTACTTGTAGGAGGTATGAAAACGAAATGCGTCTTTCTTCTTCGAATTCAATCCTCCTTGTTTCGCCTGGGCGCTTGTGACAACGAAAAAGAAGATGAAGAGCCCTGCAGAATGAAAAGATTGCAGTAAGGTGTGAGCGCAAAATTTGCTTTAGATCGTGCTGGAGAAATGAATAGAGATTAACTGTTCATTAGAAGCATCATCCTCACCGTTGGATCATTTTCGCATTAGATCAGCCACACCCCTTTTACATGGGGGGGAAGAGCAAAGTGAATGTTAGATACAGAAACATCAATTTCTTTGATGTGAGGTTTAACATTAACAAACTAAACTGTCACTCAACAAAAATTAGCACACGAAAGATGGCAGGATAATGAGAAGGACCGGGATTAAAACCCTATCAAAGCAAGCTTAGGACACGGCTTTAAGTACTCGAAAGGATAATGCCTCTATGAATCTTAAAGGGAGTAACATAAAAACCTTCAATAATTGAAGGAAAAAAAATCGATAGATATAGCTGTTTGTGTGTAGCACTAACCTCTTTGGGGAAAGGGAGTTGTAGACCCACCAGCAGAGATCGCAGTTTGTTCGGTAGTAGCACACAGGAGTCTTGTTTCAACCCGAAAAGTGGCTGAGATGGGAAAGGTGCAGAACAACAAATTGGCTGATCGGGCAAGAAAATAGAGAAAAAAAGTTAACCAATGATCATCAATTAAAACCTTTTACGATTAAAAGTAAAAACTAAAAATAAAAACTTACAGCTCCTTGACTAAAACCCATTAGGCTGCTTGTAGCACCAGCAGCAGTGGGGATCCCCAAAGCAAAGCCAGTAGGAGGGTTACTGAATGGCTGAGAAAATGGAGTGGTAAAAGCACCACCAAAAGAGACACGGTGACAAGGTTTGTGAAGGATAGGAGTTTGATTTAGCTGGAGCAGAAATGAATATGCAGAGCTTGACGAACTAAAGAGAGTCAGAGATGAGGTTTGTGACAGTGTAAAAGGACCTGGTTGAAGTACAAGAAATCGCAAAACTCGATGAACTGAATGGCGTAGACGTTGTTGTAAAACCTGTATTAGTGAAGGATGGAGCTTTTGGAGTAAACATTGTGGCATTAAAAGGACTTGATGCATGAGAAAATGTCTGTGCAGGATTCAAAGGGGTTTGGCTGTGAGGTAGTAGTGCCAAGGCCACTCCCAACAGCAGGAGCTGGACCACCTGGAAGTCGAAATTATAACATTTTGAACTTAGCAAATGTCATTATTGCTGTGAAATGCGGCAAAATTTCCAAGATACTGAAAAGTTATAACTAGAAACCGTACTTCATCCCCGCGTTGTTGGCCCCCAAAAATTGGTAGAGTGGCTCCACCGCCTGAAGGCGGTGTGCTGGAAGCACTAAAAGCTGGGATGCAGGTTGAGCCAGATGTAACAGACAAACAGAAACCTACAAAATAAGTTTACTTCATAATCATGATCCAAATTCATTTTGCAAGGAAAGAATTCAAGCCACTCATAATTGCGGTTTAATACAGCAGATGAAACTAAATATGCAAGGGAAGTTCAATAATCTCATATGTAAGCAACTGAAATGGTAAATGATTCCGAATAACCATCTTTCACCTCAATCTGAAACAGTTGATTTGTAGTGGACAGAAAGTGGAGAAATTCAATTTAGTCCACCGGCTAACCAGCAATTGATGACGCATGAGTTGATGAAGGGTTGATCAAAACGAGGACCACTTGAAGCATCAAAATTGGGGTGGCTTGAAGTACCAAAGATAGAGCTAGATGAACCCAAAGCCGCGGTGCATGAAACCAACGCTCCACTAGATATCCCAAATCCAAATGCAGCTCCTGTGCTTCCAAACGTAGGACTTGTTGTCAAACCAAAGAGCGCAAAGCTTGTAGTACCAAAAGCTGGTGTGCTAGCAATGTCAAAGGTCGGGATACATGGCAAACCAAAGGGAACAGACAACCAGAAACCTGCACACTAATTGATGTACTTCAAAAATCAAGATAAAATAAATTTTGCAAGGGAAGAATTCTAGCAAGGTAAACAATCGCATACTTAGAAAGTGACGTTGTACGCAATTTCTAATAACCATCTTTCAGGCTTACCAATAATTGATGATGATGAGCTAGGTGTAGAAGATGCTCCGAAGGAGGCTTTGTATTTTTAAAAGTTTGCGCGGATGAAGCACCAGTTGTTGTGGAGAGAGGTTCTGTGCCAAATACACAATTCTGACCGCACCTGCAGAGATTGGGAACAGAAGCATAGTTGTTGTTCCGCTCACGCTCAAAGGCCGATGGGAACAGACTTGGCCTTCTAGATGATTGTCCATTAGCTGTTAAGCAATATTCAATGAATTCCCAGCCGCGTATTGGCATGCTAGATGAAAATTACAGAGAACCGGAAACATTCTTAAATTACTGAAAAGTTTTAACTAGAATTCATACCTTTATCCTCCGAACGGAGTTCTTCATGACTTTTGTCTTTACATTCTGGGATTTCTGATATTGAATTCAATTTCTCCGCTTCAATATTATTCCGATGCAATAAAGGAGTTGCTGATACCAGATGAAAATTACTGAAAACAATCATTCACATATGCAACGCATTGAAAATTACTGAATGCAATTAACAAGGAAAACAAAAATCTTGACTCCTGGCTCATATAAAAGATTGAGATGAGAAAACTTACAGTTAGTCGGACCCCAGTACCCGACAGGTGAAAAGTGGTGTGTACAAGTACAAGACCCTTGAAACGGATTCATGAACATCTTCAGTGCTTTGTGGAGATCAAGCTGAAATAAGAATAGAACAGAAAATTAACAACACTTCCACTCTAGTCCAGTGATCGTCTTTTCATTCGCCCAATTACACATTGGTAATTTTGCAATCGCAACAATTTCAGTGAGAGTAAATTGGATTATTGATTCTTAAACTATGACCGAACTGTAGCTTTTGATCCTAAATAATAATAAGAATCCATCAAAATTGGTATGATGTAGAGCATTGATCCTTGATTTCGATTCGTGGCAAAATTAAGCACATTGACACACACGGATGAAAAATTCTAACAAAGTTGGCATGAAGGACTGAGGCTCCACGTTTTGTCAAATTCGGATACCAGTTTTATTGAATATTTAATTCAAGAACCAATGCTACAATTAGGTCCTAATGCTTCAATAATCTCTTTCAGTGAATCAATATTGAGAGAAATCGCTTAGATACAAGTTTAATTATCAAAGCAAACAATTAATTAACACACTATGATCTGATAAACACAGAAGAACCATAAACGTTAGGGTTTTGCAAAGTATCTAATCGGAGTGAGTGAATGAAATTGAGAGAGAGAGAGAGAGAGAGAGAGCGTGTGTTGCACGAAAGAAGGGGCGGAGGCTTACGTCAGTATTTGCAATAATAGGCATAGCGTTCAAATTAGGTCCGTATAGAAGAAATATATTCACAAATTATAATATTAATAAATTTTTTAAATTATTTTAAATGTATGGAAAAATATTTTAGATTTATGGAAAATTCAAATAAAAATAAAAGAGGTACGAAGAAATATATATTTATATACAAAATGTCCTCGTCTAGTTCCAATCAGTAGTTACGGCAGCCCCAGAAGACCTTTGTTTTTAGGGTTTAGGCTTTTGCTATCCTCATTTTTATCAACCAACTGGACTGAAGTTTTTTCTCCTTGTTCATGTGTTATTGCAGTAGTTAGGGACAATTTTTTTTTAAATTTGAATGTAAGTGATATTCCTTTTATAAACTACAGTACTAAGGGGAGAGGAGATGGTTTGAATTTGGGACGCGATAAATTGAAGAGGAATTGTCCTAATCACCGGAGCAATTTACCACTTGCATAGTGAGTGACAATCTTAAAGATGTAATCAATATTTGAAAATTTATATAGGTCTTGTTAATCATTTGTTAAGATGAATTAATCCTTGGTTGCCAGAACTTTATTTCTTTTCAATGATTTTTTATTATGTCAAAGCTCATAACAACCTGAACAGAAATTGTATTGAAAGAAAAAGACTTGTTTCTTCTTCGAATTCAATCCTCGTTTGCTTGCTTTGCCTGCGCGCCTTTCACCATGAAAAGGAAGACGAAGAACCCTGCAAAAGGAAAAATATTGCAATAAGATGTGTGAGCACAGATTCGCATTAGAACGTGCTGAAAAACGATGTAAGAGTTCATTAGATGCATCATCATCCTCACCTTTCGATCATTTTCCTCACTACTATGCATGCTTGAATTTCTTTCAATGATCACCTGCAGCCTCCTCATTTCCTGGCAGAAAACAACGACAAAGTGAATTCCACATTCAGTAACATCCCATTTTCGTTAATGTGAGGTTTAACACACTGAACTATCACTCAATAGAAATTATAACACGAAAACTAAGTTAGATTGATGCTAAGATAATGAGGACGGGATCAAAAACCTATCAAACTTAGGGCAAGACGGGCGTATTGAGGAATTTTTACTGCACAGATGTATAATGCCTCCATGAATCTTTAGGGAGTAAAATAAAAACCTTCGATTGAAGAAAAAATTGATACAGCTGTTTGTATGTGGCACTAACCTCTAGTGGAAGGGGTGTTGTAGACCCACTAGAGGAAGTCGTAGTTTGTACGGCATTAGGAGTACCTGTTTGTGCAACAGACGGCGTGCAACCGAATAGGCCATGATTACATGTCGAAGTTGTTGCTGGAGCTGGAGAAGGAAATGCAAATGTAGATGCGGGTCCAGTTGATGATGAAGATGCATAAAGATTGGGTGTAGATGAGGCTCCAAAGACCGCAGCAGTAATGGATGGATTTTGTGGAGCAGATATATTAGATACAGTAGAGGTATTGGACAGACTCAAAGATGTTTGAGCAAATGTCGGTGCAGGTTTCTTGGTAAGCAAGGTAAAGTGAGTCACACCACCAAGAGCCGGTCCACCTGAAATTTAAGATGGGAAATTAATCATACGTAGAACATAGTAAAGGCCATCATTCCTCACAATAAATTCTTATGCGTTATCCAAAGTTTATAAAACAAAATTTACCTTTATCCCCCAATTGATAATTCTGCCATCTCATTTCCTCGTGAGATCTGTCTCCATAAATTGGCATTGACGATATTGAGTGGAATTTTTCATCCGGCCGACGCTCAGAAACTGGCTTCCCCAGAGCAGTGTTTCCAGTTGTTGATTGAGCTCCTGCATCATAAAGTATAAGAATATGATACAGATAGAATGAAACAAAACACAACGACCTTCACAAATAAAACAAAATACTCACCACATGAAGCGCATAACTGGCAGCAACCGGACAGAGAACTTAATTGACCAAACGCAGGGATTGATGAAAAGCTTTCAAACCCATTCTGTCCAAGAATTCCCGTCGAACCACCTGTGTTGCCTACAAAGCCAAAGACAACAATTGATGAAATCAGTACCAACGGCTATAACCATTCAAAATGCATAAAACATGTTACCTTGCGGAGTTTGACTAACAATGTTGAAGACAGAACCACTACTCTGAAGAGGCTGAGATGACACGAACAAAGGCTGCACAGAAAACAGAAATAGGGCAAAAAGTTAGCCAAAACCATCAATTAAAATTTATTCAATTAAAAATATATGGGAGAAAAAGAAACTTACAGTAGCTTGACCAAAAGCAATTGGGTTGCTTGTAGAACTAGCCGCAGAGGAGCTCCAAAAGTAATTGGGTTGCTTGAAGATGGTTGAAGAAGTGATGGTGCAGGATGCAAAGGATTCGGCTGTGAGGTAGAAATGTCAATGGTACTCCCACCGGCAGGAAATTGAACACTGGAAGAAAAAGTTTTAACGGATTACTTAGTAAACTTTGACAAATGCGGAAAAAATTCTGAGTTACTGAAAATTTTGAACTAGAAAGCATACCTTTCCCCAATTTATAATCTTCCACACGGAGTTCTTCGTGACTTTTGTCTTTATATTCTGGCTGCAGATATTGACTCCACTTTCCTACTATCATCAACTGCAGGAGTTGCAGTGTATGAAGCCACGCTACTACCCTTGCGTTGTTGGCCACCAAAAGCTGACTGCCCGGTGTTCCCAATTGTTGTTGATTGACTTACTGCACCACAAAATAAAACAGAACAGAATGAGGCATTCCTTTACTGTAACAAAACAATTCAAAACCAACACCCATATACCTCTAGAATACTCACCAAATGGAAAACACTGTGATCCAAAAGGAGACGAAGCACCAAATGGGCTGCTACTGAATCTGAAACTTGATTGGGTAAATGCGGAAGTTGGTGAAGAGCTCAAAGGTTGTGTACTACTAAATGAACCAAAACCAATAGTACTTGAAGCACCAAAAGCTTGGTTGCTTGAAGTACTGATGGTGGAGCTAGATGAACCAAAAGCCGGGGTGTTTGAAGCTCCAAATGATCCACCATAAGACCCATCTCCTCTGCTTCCGAACATAGGACTTGTCGTTCTAGCAAAGGGCGCGAAGCCTGTTGCACCAAAAGCTGGTGTGCTAGCAGAGGCAAAGGCTGGGATACGTGTCGAACTAAAGGGAACAAACATCCAGAAACCTGCACAGTAATTTATGTGCTTCATAAATCATAATCAAAATATATTTTTCAAGGAAAGAATTCTAGGGCACATGCCGACTACATAAACAGGTGAAGTTCCCACAATATACAAAATTTGTTTCACAAGTCAGCTCATAGATCCAGATGTGTAGCGAACATAATGTTTTCAACAACATATTAATGTCATACAGAAACCACCACTTATATATAGGCATAAACTTTCGGGGAAAAAGAAAATTAAGGAACTCAAATTGGGGTTTAATGTAGGGGACAAAACTAGATATGCAAGCACAGGTAAACAATCGCATACTTAAGAAGGTGACATTGTACATGATTTCTAATAACCATCTTTCACCATAATGACATAGCACAGGTGGGAGGCGGCTTACCAGCAATTGGTGACAATGAGCTACTGAGACCAGGAGTATAAGGTACTCCAAAAGGAGGAAAGGGCCAAGAAGACTGCGCTGCTCCAAACAAACCATTTTCACCGCACCTGCAGAGATTGGGAGCAGAAGCGTTGTTGTTGCGCCACTCATGCTCCAAGAACGATTGGGAATAAAATGGGCTTCCAGACGAATTCCCACCTGCTGTTAAACAATATGCATCAATGAATTAAACTATTTTCCACAGAGAACAAACAAGAGATTATGCAGCACAAATACTCCCAGCTGGTTATAAATGCATACCAGATGAAAAAAACAGAAAACAATCATTCAAATATGGAATGAACTGAACATTACTGAATGCAGTTAACACGGTACAACGGAAATCTTGACTCATGGCTCATATGAAAAGATAGAGTCGAGAAAACTTACAGTGAGTTGAACCCCAGCCAGGAAACCGAAGGGAATCACCACCCATCTTCAGAGCTTGTGGAAATCAAAACTGAAACAACAACAGAACGAAAAGTTAAAAACAATTTGAAATTAAAATTAACGAAAACAGAGTCATATAGATGATGTTTAATAGCCCTCAAATACAATAAATTATCAAAAAATCCAAACTTTTGCATAAATCCTCAAAAGCCAATCTAGTCAGTAAATCCTCTATTCAATCGGTCCAATTACCCGTTAACGTAATTTTGCAGTTGCAACAATTTGAATAAGAGTAAATTGGCATGAAGGTTCAATGCTTCACATTTTGTCAAAACAAAATTTGAAGGGTTTCTACTTCATGCCCTCATGAACGAAAATTACAATTAATTCATAAACGAAAGCTATAATTCAGTCGTTTAAGAACCATCGCTCCGATTTTCTCTTTACACATATAAATCTCGGGAGAAATCGCTCAAATAAAAGTTGAATTACTCACATTATAATGTGAGAAACAGAGAAAAACTGTAAGAGTAAGGGTTTTGCGAAGTACTTGAGATGGAGCGAAATTTTGATACATCAGACGATAAAATGCGAGAGAGAGAATTAGGGTTTATTCTTTTTGGGAAGAGAGTCGCAGAGTTGGGGTTTGATTTGAGAGCGAGTAATTTATATTGGGATGAATGAATAGCATTAATAGTAAGCAGAAAGCGCGGGTAAGTAAGCGTGGGTTGAAAGAAAGCACGGAGAACGTAACTGTAGCGTTCAAATTAAGTCCATGCCTTCAAACGACAAACAAAAAATTGCGTTTAAGTTGTTTCTTCTGTCGTTTTTGTAAAAGTGTGTCTTTTTATTTATTTATTTTGCTCTCATCAAAATATGTCCATTGTACTATAAATTTATTTTTTTTTTGTTTCAAATAAAGTTAGGTGTTCTAGAGAAAAAGTGACTATGACATTAATATATTAAACTCATATAAGAATTACACTTTTACATGATGTTGAAAAGTTTCAGTGTGATATACTAATATATTGACTTCGTGAGTTTAATATATTAAACTTATGAATACAATATATTATACTCATGAGTGTAATATTAATATATTGGATTCATACTAGTGTAGCATTAGTGCAATAAGCATCAAGTTCAGGCTGCCTGATTACTATATTCAAGTATCACATTCATTCAAACTATTGTGAAAGCCTTAAAGTCTAAATTTGGTTATCGCCCTTCTTAAGTGGTGAACGTTACCACCATTGTAAGAAAACACCACTATAACCAGAGTTAACCAATTTAATTTTTTTTAATACATAAAATATATAATATTTGCAATTCCTTTCAAATTTGCTCTCATTAACTTGTGGGACTTTTAGCCATGTTTGCGGTGACATGGACATGTTATATATAGCAAGGTCACTTCCTGTGATTTTCACTTTGTAATTCCATATGAATGCAATTTGTAATCGGCCCGTTTGGTAGGCTGAATGGAACTAGGTCTTACGAATATAATTAGATTAGTAGGAACTTGTAAGACATAACTTGTAATTCATATAAAATGATACGTTAGATCCACTCTGTTGTGGATTCATAAACCCTCATGTTCAATTACGTTCATCTTACATTTTGACACAATAAACAATGAACTGAACTCAAGTTCATTTTAATTTATCATAACCTATCTCATCCAGCCTATTAAACAGGGCTTATGTGACCCTCATGTTGGGCTGGTAACGTGCTCTCAAGATGGTAACGCTCGCTAGCTCGCCCCAAAAATCCCTCGTGGCTTATGCAAAGGAAACTTATTCGTTTTATTTATTTTCTCAAGGTGTAGAAAAGAACCAAATTGAGTTAGTTCCACACTCGATCCTCAATTGCTTGATTAGAAGTCAGATTTATCAAGCCGCAACCATTCACAATTCTATGATTTCTATCTACTAGCACTACCTAGTAGTATCACGCTCGTGTTCAATACAATTTTTTGTATATGCGAATGTGACCAGAAAATAAGGCGGTGCACATAAATCCCTTCATGTCTTCGTCGGACTCTCAAGCTCCAACTTTAACCTGTCTAGAAACCTTGCTGCAACCGATAGATTCCAGAGCATAACATGACTATACACTGAGCCTGCAGATTCACACAAACCTGATGTAAGGTGGAGGCTGTACGTTTTCAAGGATGGCAAATTGGTTTCGAGCGAAGAACCCTTTTACGAATTGCATCGTCAAAGATTCCTCTTTTCAGGAGGGAAACGAGAGTGGCAGACATTCCTACATTCCATCCGTCTTACAGCAAACAGCATGCTATTGTGCAATTCCAGCGAGTAGAAGAAAATCAAGTTAGGCCTTACTTAATTGACCTTGGAAGCACGAACAGAACATTTATTAATGGTAGTGCAATTGAACCTCAAAGGTATTATGAACTTGTCGAGAAGGACACAAATAGGTTTGGTAATAGTAGCCGGGAGTACGTGCTTCTTCATGAAAACTCTGCAGCTGATTGACTGTTCCTGACATGTGACGGTGCAAAGTGGCAAAATTATGAAGATTGAGCATCAAATTTGAGCACATGTTATTTTCTAATCGGAATTTTTTGCTACTCTGTACTTGTTAGTGGCAGAAACAACCCCCAAATGTGTTTTTTTCTCTTGCAGATTTGATCATCAATTGCTGTACTGGAGCTTTTTTTATTTTTACTTATTTATTCTTGCTAATATGGTGTATGGAAATGAGTGGATTTTATCAATAGCATCAATTTTGTACATGTCTATATGTTGCTTGTAACACAATATTGTTCCTTGGTTTGACGAAACTTTACTTCTTTATTTTGGTTGGCACAATAATCCTGTTTAATTAAACATAATCGGGTTTCAAGAGCTTTTAAGAAAGGTTGATATTTTACAAATAATTTCATAATTGTTTCTTTTAGGTTATGATTGTTTTCTTGATGATTAAGAAGTCATGCTTTTGTATCAGATATTTTTCTTGATGATCAAATAAACTTTAAGATTATCTCATATTATCTTCTAGAGTTTACTGTTTAATAATTCTTGTCATCGTTGTTGCTTTTGTCACTTTATATCAGCATATATTTTCTTCCTCGGGTACATAACCACCAATTGATTGAGAAAGTTTGAGATGATGGGAAATAGAGGCATGCGTGACTAAGCTCAGCTAAAACAACCGACTAATCTCTGTACTAATCACAGGACATATCACTCCTCAAAGTTCAAACCTTTATATATGCAAAGCATGAGGCAAAGGCTAAGTGGAGTTACTAAAGATAGCAACTGAAGAAAAAGGTAGTATATATGGACATGCAAATTTGGGTCCCCAGTAAAGAGTGGTCATGGTCATCCCACAAAAGTAACTGCTTGATGGTCCTGGTGATGCCAGAAAGTAGTTAATTTGACGTATAGATTCTTGATTCGGTGCCCTAACTATTTTAGAACGGAGATGTTTTTCACACTTCTATTTTCTCTTCATGCATACTTTGGTTTATTTATGTTCGTTGTTTATGTTGAAATATTTCACATTGATTGTATCTTTAAAAAAAAGAAGAGTTTAAATATCTTAATTCCTCTTTGTGTTAAAACCCTTCACTTGTCGGACTTAAAAAGTTAGGGGATAATATTGATGTTGTTAGAAGTAGGCCTTTGACCCGTCTCTCTGATACTAATACCGAAACCACTCACACTTGTCGAACTATGTAGGTGATAATTAACAAGTCAGGGGACTTGTTGAAAGTGTGTACTTGTCGGAATGTGCAGGTGATAATTAACAAGTTAGCAGACAATATCAGTGTTGTTGGAAGTAAATTTTTGTCCCGTCTCTCTGATAATTCTACAATTTTTCTTTAATCCAATAAATTCAATGACAAAACATAGTTAAAAGTCTGTAAAGAGAGAAAAAAAATATTTGCGAAAATCACTTCCCACTACAAAATTGAAGAAAAAGGAAAGGAGCTTGAAATAAAAAAGCTAACTAAGCGTAAAGATAATGACTACACGTGGTGATTTAGTGATTCAATAATGTTAGCCAAATCACATTGATGACTTTGCTATTCGTGCATGCCTATAATTGTGAAAAATGAACAGAAAGCTTGAGTTTTGATCATTCTTTATTTCCATAATCTTCGGCTTTTCAGCTATCGGGCTTCAGTGCCCTCGCAATATGTTTTATGTGCTCAATTGATGTACTGATTTAGTTAGAAATTGAGTGTGCATGATATTCATACTTTTTTAAAGGTTAGGTTTTCTATCAATAATGTTGATATTTGTAATTGTATCACTTATTCGTTGATACGTTTTGTTATTGACACGTTATCTGTTAATTATTGACGGTATATTTATAGTCTGTCCTTTTTAATAAAGAATGCAGGTCATGCTCAATGATCAAACTAAGTTAATTGAGCATAATCCCATGTTTTTTTTTTTTTTGGAACAAACGATATTAATTATCTACATTAAGAGTTGTTTTTGGAACAAACGATATTATCTACACTAAGGAGGAGGGGTGGGCTTAGCCTTACAATTGGCTAAATAATAATATGATTCAAATTCGCCTTTGGAGATAGTCAAACCTAAGACCTCTTACTTATAAGTGAAGAGGAATACCATTAGAACGTAATACTAAGTGGCTAATCCCATGTTTTAAACACTATGTTTCTTTTTTCTTTATTTTTTTTTTTTAAAGTTATACGGTAGGAAGATTTAATAATGGCCATAATGTATGAATAATAATACATTTTTCTGTTATCAGTCAATATTATCGACGATTTATTGACATAAGAACAAGCATTCTGCCTAGAAAGGATATAGTTAGTGGCGCTTCATGAGATGAACGTTATTAATCTCCTCCGTCTAATCTAAACCTACCTCACCTCGCTTGCCTCACCCGGGTAGGTGATCAACATAGTTTAATTGATCACAATCCCATGCTTTAAACATTACTTTTCTTTTTGTTTTTTAAGTTTCTTGGTGGGAAGATTTGATATGTTGTTCTAGACCATGTGTAGAAGATATACGGCTGCTGTTCGTCCTGGTTCGACGATGAAGTATTAGATGCCAATGCGAAGCACAGAAGGAGGTAGAAGAGTATTTATTTCCAACACCACCACTCAAAAGAGATGCCTATGATGAGCTATATATAGTATAATTGTTGACTTAAAGAAGATTCACTAGGACAAAGAACATAACCTGATACAGTGGTAAAAAAAACTCATGGCCTATGACAAGACTCTACAACTTCTAGGGTAGGGATGTATGAGGGTCGTGAATTCGATGCCCGAAAAGAACTGTACGAAACGATTCCCCGGTTAGTCTGTGTGCATTGGAAAGTATCAGTCAATGAAAAAAAAGGAAGAAAAAAGAAAGGGAATCAAAGATTAAATTATGTCAAAGTTGGTTGCTTAAAGCAGTGATGTGATTTAGAGAATTTAAATCTTGCTTTGTGCCCACTTATTCTGGAGCTTGTCTATTTATCTCAACAGATTGGCCCGCCCTCTGCTGTGTTTTTAAGCACAAGAAAATCATCCTCTAAAACTCAGAGTTGTTGAGAGGCCTGGCTAGCTCAGCCCTGCCTCCTAGTGTGACTCACAGAAATGACGGACGTGAAAGGGTGTAGCGAATGGAAGCCTTTTATTGCCATGGTAGCAATCGATTTCTCGTTCGCTATAGTGAATATTCTGCTCAAGAAAGTGCTCGATGAGGGAATGAACCATTTGGTTCTTATCACGTACCGGTTGACGATTGCTACCATTTTCTTAGCACCAGTTAGCTACTTTGGGGAAAGGTAGGCAAACATCATTCCTTGCTTTTTCGGAAATTCATTTTGATATTTCTATGCCTTAACTTGCTGAAGATTTTTCTGATTTGCTTGCAGGAATACTAGACCAAAGCTCACACTTCGCATCACATGTTTTCTCTTCTTAAGTGCAATTCTTGGGTTAGTAAACTCGACAGAGACTTGTACATCAATTTTACATTTTTTCATGTGTCTATATCTTTTTGTTGTTGCAGGACATCCCTAACGCAATACTTCTTTCTCCTCGGAATCCAATACACATCTGCGACTTTTGCCTGTGCCTTCGTCAACATGGTGCCTGTGATCACTTTCATAATAGCGTTACCGTTTGGGTACAAAAAAGTCACAAAAACCTCATTTACATGTTCTTTGAATCTTGTTCACGTGCTGCTGTACGAAATTGAGCGTTTAATCTTGCAGGTTAGAGAAAGTGAACTTAAAATGCCACAGCGGGAGAGCAAAAGTACTCGGTACACTGGTGTGCATCGGTGGAGCTTTTATACTAACTCTTTACAAAGGAGTTCCTCTATTTGATTCCTCAAAATCCACAGTTAGTACTCAAACCATAGATCATGGCATGCAGCTGAGGTCAACGCGAAACCATGAGGGTTGGACGATTGGTTCGATAGCTTTGGTTGGCGGAACCCTACTGTGGTCTTCATGGTTTCTTGTTCAAACAAACATTAGCAAGATGTATCCTTGCCAGTATTCTAGCACCACAATAATGAATTTCTTTGGTGCCATTCAGTCTGCAATCTTATGTGTTTGCACAGGAAGGAACCTTTCCATGTGGGTTCTGAGGGGAAGGACACAAGTCATAGCTGTCCTGTTTTCTGTAAGTATTACCCTTCTTTTAATTACAATTACGCAAAAATACTTAAGGGGTTTTGGTATCTTAGTTCCAAAAGTTATACAACTTCACGAATCCAGGTAATGTCAGTTGGCCAGTGCAATTAATATATCCGTTTCCAGGAAATTAAAGAAGCTTAGAATATCGCTTTTTTCAAAAGAAAAAAAAAAGTTATACATGCTTCAGCTACATGCCTTACTATTGGTGTATAATTATATATACATTATACAGGGAATGATAGCATCGGGATTAGGTTTTGTGGGGATGTCATGGTGTGTGAGGAAACGGGGGCCGGTGTTTACTGCAGCTTTTAGCCCGCTCGTGCAGATAATGGTGGCCCTAATCGGTATCCCCATCTTCCATGAACTACTCCACCTCGGAAGGTGAACTTTCCTATCTATTTTACAGTTGCCAATACCTACATATGATTACTACTTATGGTAATAGCTTTCCTCATTGGTGCTGCATTGACACTGAGCAGCTTGTTAGGATCTATCGTTGTGATCGTCGGCTTGTACATTCTTCTATGGGGTAAGAAAAAAGAGATGCAGAAATGTGCGACAAAACTAGTCCAAGAATCTCAAGCAGTCAAAGAGCAGGAGCCGCATTTACCCGCCATCACAGTCTCCGTTGATTCGCGGTGTCCTTGAAGCCGAGTTTCATATGCTTTCACGTTCAAAAGCCTTCATTTTTTTCTTCCCAATTGATTCTTATGGTCTTCTAGCGAGGATCTTAAAGAAAAGTCATCTGTCATAACCGGAATAAAAGTAGATAAAAGTTTTCACCTCTTTATCTGATGGTTGCAAAATTTCCCCCATGGTTCTTTGTGAGGCTTGTGGTAATGAATATGTTAAACAAATTAGAAGGACTACCGGTTTTGTAGTTGAGATCTTTACCATTTGATGTTGTTTTTTTCTAGTGGAAGATTGACAAATTAGATGCTGAGGCGTCATCATCGTAATCGCGCACTTAAAATGGATGGAAATTTACGTTGTAATCACGTACTTAATTGATCAAAGTTATGTCTACTTCTTGCTACAGTGGGAATATGCAGCGACACACACGATGTTAGAATATTCGATATGTTTTTCGAACACAACTTTCTAGACCGATAGTGTTTGGTTTAAGGCAAACATATACAACAGACTGAGGATCCTCTCCGGATCCTCTTTGTGAGGATCCCAAGGATCCTCCAATCACGTTCGTTCATCGTATACTGTATGGTAATAAATTATTGTAATTTTTTATTATTTAAAATTGAATATAAACAGTACTTGAAGAAAACTGATTACACGATGTATGCTGAATCGATGTGATTGGAGGATCCCCGAGATCATCACAAAGAGAATATAGAGAGAATCCTCATTCATATATTATTTTAATGTTAAGTTTGGATGAGGGGAATTAGATCCTTTCCAGATCTCCTAAACTGGGGATTCGGGGGATCAATTAATACTAACCATTCATCAAAGATCGTGCGGCCACAATTGAATGTTTTTTTCAAAAGTAAAGCAATCTTGTTTTGTATGAAAAATATAAAAAAAGAGAAAAACTGTGGCCGCATGATATTTGATGAACGGTTGTTATTAATTGATTCCTGGGATCCCCAGTGAAGGGATCCAGAGAGGATCTAATTCCTAGATGAGGGACTTTAAAGTACATAAAACTAATGAAAATGACATTAAAAATTTTTTTTTTTTTAAAGAAACTAATGAAAAGGGCTTCAAAACCTTGAGTTTTAACCAAAAAAAACCTTTATATAACTTTATTTAATGATAAGGACAAAAGAAAGAAACAAAAAAACAAAAAACAAAAAAAACCTAACTAAAGGCGCATGCAAAAAGTACCCAACCAATCCTTCAATTACATAACCCTTTGACATAATCCAAGCATATTTTATTCCCCTAAAATTAAAATTTCAAATTGAAGTGGGTTCCGTTCGATTCAGAACCACATCTGCGGAGGTATGGTTGGGAGGGAGTCGGTCAAGTGTGGGTTGGAATGGTTCGGGGTAGGGGTGGGGCAACACCATTAACAACATCATTGGACTCATCACCCATTTTTCTAGTAATGGTATTGAGCTATTAGCCATGCATGATTTTAACAGCGTGGACGTTGATTTCTATCATGTTTTCCTTTTAATCTTTTTTTTTGCATTCTGGTGATAGAACTTGAAAATCTGGGACGAGCATCTACCGTTAAGTTTCATGAACAGTATAGTATCGTTAAATTTTATAAACAGTGTCGTACCGTTAAGTTTCATAAACAGTGCAGTACCATTAAGTTTTATAAACAGTGTATTAAATTTCATAAACAGTTTGTGTGAGGGAAGCGCGGGTCCGCGCGTCAAATTTTTTTTTAAATATTAAAATTATTTCTTTTTCATTAAAATTTAAGTTTTTTGTCTTTTTTATTAAAATTTAAAGAGTTTTCATTAAAATTTAAGTTTTTTTCATTAAATAAAGTTATAGCATAATTTTTTTTATTAAAATAAACTTAGTCCAATAGTCTGACGTGCGAATCTCATAACTATTTGATGCGCAACACATGTTTGCGAGCACACAGCCCAATGAAAAATAACTTTTGATTTATATGAATTATCTTACAGCCCATAATGGGACAAATAAAATACATAAAATAAAGTCTTAACAAGCCTTAGGACCTAGAAGAAAGAAACAAGGCCATGCCTACTAGTGATAACTATGGAATAACTTTGATTTTATAGATACCAAAAATCAAAACAATTATTCTGTTTTGCCCAAAAAAATAGTAGCACTGATAGTTTGAAAAATCAGTTGAAGTTTGTTGGAAGCCCAAAAATGTCATGAGCAAGCCCAAATAAGTCTCAAAGCTCAACTACCATGCAAGCCTCTATTCAAGCCCAACATATGCAAAATTGTGGGATCGATGAAGAAATAAATTTACAAACATGTCATACTACAGTAATTAAATCGAATATTCATAAATCAAGCTATACTTATTTGTCATGCTAAAATAAGCCCAAGTCACATGCTCGAGGCTTGTTAAGTGAATTGTGGTGTGAATGGTTACGAAAATTCATCGGCCTTATGTGGAATCAAGGTTACGAAAGACTTTGGGCTACTTGGGGGTTTAAAGATCCTAGCCCATAACCTTTGAAGTCCACATAGGCAGGTATTGAGAGAGAAATAGTTTTACCTCTTTTCCTAGCAAGCTAACTAGTTCAATTAGGACTAAACTAGATTCCAGCCCTAAGTTCACGTGAAAGCCCTTCAAAACAGGCATTTAATGCTAACTTTCCCTTCCCAGCTTATGCAGAAGTTCAATGCGTGAAAGCCATGAGCCACGTTACTAAAAGTACCGCCTACGGATCGGGGGTAAAGAAGAACTAGGGAGAAGAGGGACAGAGAAACACGTCCAAAATAGAGATCCCTCGGGAAAGGATCATTGAACTACAAATATATGTGGAGAACATTAGAGAAAGGATCCACCAATTCCCCAGTTTTTACACAGAGAACCAGAGAAAACCCAGAAACATCACCTTGCAACCTTAGCATTTTCCATGTCCATCTTCTAAGTATCGCAACCATTCTAAGTCTTGCTACCACCTTTGGAAACCCAGATTATCAAACAACAAACACCCATACAATCATCCAATCCTTCTCTCTTTCATGTAAAATTGATGAACTTCTAGCTTCCATACCACACTTCTCTTGATCAAGCCATTATTTACCCAATCATGCTAATCTTCAAGTTATTGATCTAACCGAGATATTTCCTAAGACAAGCTAACTCTTTCGAGATATTCAGGGGTTTGGTATAAAATTGAACCAAAGGAGACAAGAGAACACTCTCAAAGCCCAACTCCACCTCAACCTAAAAGTCCCCCACCAAAGTTTAGTGGCAATACTGTAAAAAAGATGAAGTAAAAAAAAATTGTGGCTTTTTCGTAAATAAATTGAAGTTTGGGAAGTAGTTACATTTGCGTAACTTGACTATTTATATATAATCAGGTCAACTATTTAAAGTAAGTTGAACTATTGTGACATCGACTGTTTATACATGATCAGATCAATTGTTTATACACGATTAAGTTAATTGTTTGTACATTAATAAGGGTGAGTTCGGTACGATTACTGTACCAAAACTCTTGTACCAATTACTATACCAATCTTTTAGTATTGCAAAATCTACTACCATTACCCTGCCAAAATTTCGTAACCCCAAATTTTAGTATGCTAATAATTCAGTTGGTATGGTATAATAATTGCCGATTAAAATTTATGCGTCTCTTCCTTTGGCAAAAATGCACATGTAAAACAATCAACACATTTGATTAAAGATCTAAGCCTCATGCACCCACGAGGTGGGGATGAGGGGTTAGGCTAATCGATCTTCGATGCCTAAATTTGTTTCTTTGAAAAAAGTATGCGTTTAGGGTTTTTAGGGACAACAAAAGCTTGCCAAAATTTGGTAGAATTTGAGAGAGAGAGAGAGAGATACACACACACACACACACACACACACACACACACACATAGGGAAGAGTGTCGGCCATGGTATAGGGGTTTTACCCTATACATGGAGGCATCCTATTAGCCAAAGTGTGTGGAAAAAATATTCTCAAGATAATAAATAAGAAATAATATATTGAGATAATAATGTAAATATTCCTGATTGATTTAAATATGAAGTACTTACTTGAATGAAGTCAATCTTTAATTAGAAATGTATTAAAGATAGGATTCGTGTAATTAATCATTATCTTTAATACTTTGACTTTTCCTTATCAAGGCATGTGAGTTGTGGGCCTTCAGGGGTCTTGAGCTGCACGTAGGAATATTTAAGGCCTTCAGGGGTGTTGAGCTGCGCGTAAGAGTATTTAAGGAGCCTACTCATTTAATGAGGACAATCTTGTCTTTTTTGAGCAAAGGTCCACATGTCACCTTTCAAATTTTTGAGATTATTTTAGGCACCACAATAATGATATTGTCGCTATGTTATTGGGCAATATTTTATGACACAAAAATATGTTTTTTTAAAGTCCAATTCAAGGAGCAAATATAATATTGTTCAATTTGTATGCCATTAGCTCATATTTTGTAGCCTTAAATGTGTTATTGTCTTAAATTCATCCTCCATCTAAATAGAATTTAAATTATTTTACAAAATTCAATTAATAGTAATTACAATATATATCAATTCTTTTTTCAAAACATGTTGTAGCTGCACAAGCCCTTCTCGCGTGTCATAAGAATCAAATTGATTTCACCAAACTTAATATTAATGGATCAGGTAACATTTTAAAAGCATTCTTTCTTTTCAACTCATTTATATCTTCTAATCTTTTTTTTTTTTTTTTTTTTTTTTTGGCTCGGCTATCCCACTTTGCCGCCATTTCATTTTATGCCACCAATTTCTTTTATGCTGCGTTATTGAGCTGAGAAGAACTTTTAATTATATAATAGAAAACTATATAATATTGGTTCGATAAAGTATTACAGTTCGGTGATGATTTTGAATATCATTACCATATCGAAAATGTATAGTTCGATACAAATACTGTAAACATTATCAATTGATACAAAACTTTGGTACAAATTTGGTGATACCATTGGTAATTTGGTAAAAGATTTCACCCTTAAACATAAATTAAGTTGAACTTTAGCGGTTTCTGCATGATTAGATAAACTGTATACATCACTTTTGGTGACACTGATTGTTTATACATAATTTGGTCAACTATTTATACACAAATTAACTTGAAATTTGATGGCACCGACTATTTATAGATGATTAAGTCAACTGTTT